ATGAGTAAGACGGGTATGGCCAATTCTTAGTCTTGTTAACACCGTTTCATCAAACCTAGATTGTCTAATTGATGATTTCCAAGGACTAACACTACTTTTTATTTCTTTTAGCTTGTTGTCCATTACATTGTTCCACATTTGTTGCCAGGATAACCAAATTTTTTTTTAAATAATTTAAATTAATTTTTAATAATTTGAGCATAAAAAACTCCATTATGTTTAGTGGTCTAATTGACCAAATTACTTCTTTCAATTAATTATTCTTTTTATGTAAGGTCTTCATTGAGAAAAAGTTAGTGTCACGAGCGGGATTTGAACCCACATCCTTCGGTACAAGTGGTTAGAGCAGCGGCGTATTGTAAAGTAGTGGGTTCGAATCCTGCTCGTGTCGCTTATTTTCTTTATTATATTGGTGTAGCTATGGCTGAGTTTGCATGTTCTATAATTAATGCTGTGTGTGTCTCTGTTAATGTAAACCATTTATAGAAAGTTGCGTTTGTATTTGTTTTTTCTGTGTTTAGTATTTGTATTTTGTCAAAATCAAAGTCGTGTTGTTTTTCAAAGTGGTGTGTGACCTATGCTGTGGGATTGGTTTTTGGTGTTTTACAGTCATAGATGTGTTGTTGTTTTCCATTTTCCTAGATATTGCGATGTAATGGACAGTTCATACAATTAATTTTATAAATTACATCGGATTTGTAGGCTGTTGGAGTTGGGACTTTGACTTTGGAAAAAAGTGTATGTACTGTTTTATGGTTTTTAAAAGCTATTTTAATATGTTCTGAGGAGAGAAATTTACTTAATTTGTGTGACAATGTGTATACAAATGGAATGGACATGTATATTGGTTTGTCTTTGTATGATTGTGTCGATGGTGTGTTGTGAACTGTGGGAAGATGTTGTTTTGTGCAGTGCTGAGTCATAATTGTTTATGATTATGTTGATTATGTTTTTAGAGTAGTTGTTGTTATATAAGATTTGTTTGTATATTTGAATATTTTTTAGGTGAAAGGATTCATGACTTAGAGAAATGATTCTGTGTAATAATCCTTTACCCGTGTTTAATATTGTAGTAAACAAAAAACATTAATTTCTCACAAACATTCTCAACACGACACACAACAGTGACACATCAACACAGAAAATACACATTTTGAGTGAGTAAAAATACTTTGATTAAACCTAAAATTTCTATATTGTCTACATCATTGTACAAATTCATATTCACAACTTACACGTATTTTGTATAATTTAAACAATGTTTATAAATCCCAGGCCCAGGAGATGATCTCGATAAAGATCAAAACGTTGGCACGATAAAGAAAATGTTTTTCTAAACCTACATCACACCAGACCGTATCTCACGATCTATAAATAATGATTAATTAGCGGCCATTGAATACTAAACATTGCTATTTATACTATTTCTCTGCCACTTTGTCCTATAGTGATTGATTGATTGAAATAATTTTTATTTTAAAAAGAAAACACATACAAATTATATTTTGAATGGCACACAAAGTGTAATGGCGTATGGCATGGCTAATGCCGACTGCCAGAGTTGGCCATTAAAAGGGAAAGAACTATTCACCAAGAGAAAATATTAGTAGTAACTATGTATACAATAGTTAAGGAATTATTATTTAATATTATTATTAAAAGTAAATAAACAAAACAAAAAATTTGCAATGAGCAATAATGACATTTATGTAATAGCAAAATGTGTAATTACCCTAGATAGTAATAATAATAATATTGAACAAAAGAGAAACACCTTCTCTGATGATCAAGGCAGAATTCTTGCGAATTTTAAATAACTATCCCAATTATAAAGTTTTTTATACCGATGGGTCTAAAAATGAAATTGGTGTAGGGTGTGGGATATTTGCTGATGAGTATATCCTCAGCTGGTCTCTATCAAATGAGGCTAGTGTATACACAGCTGAACTTCATGCAATCAGAAGATCATTGAGCATTATAAAGGAATCGCCAGGAATTTGTAATGCCATTATTTGCTCTGATTCGAAAAGTGGTCTCAAAGCAATCAGAAATAATTTATCGGTTGACCCTTACATCTTAGAAATTCACAAATATCTCTATGAAATCAGAACACTCAACAAACATGTGATATNTAAGAATTTTAAAAAGAAAAAAGAAAAATTAAAGCTTGGATGGCAATAGGATAAATTAGTTTACGAGTGAATGTTTGGAGTCAGAGCTTTATAGCACTCAGAAGAGATATAGCTAACCTAAGATAGAAGGTTTGGATGTTAGGGCGTGAAATGACCTTAGCCGTTAAAACGCCCTTAAAAATTAATAATAATTATATGCAGTTACTTCTAAATATGGCAGTCGTGGGAAGACAGCATGCATATAATTGTCTTGCCATCTAGTGTATCTCTACTAAATTATATAAACCTTAGGTGTGAAAGTGCAGGACATGCAGCGAGAAAGTCCTTTGTCCTATAAATTTTAAATATAACTATATCTTATAAGGGGCGAAACGCATTCCTCCAGCAGACAGAGTAAAATCCATGCTGTGGAACACTTAGTTATTTTTTTGTCCCATCATGTTGTAATTTATTTGAAAAAATAAAGTGCATTCTATTCTACATTCTTTAACATGAATAAATGTAAATAAATTAATAACATCAAGTGGCACTAAAACAGAGTTGTTTGGTACATTTATGTTCTTTAACCGATCATCAATCAAGAATTGTTAACACCGAATGTAGGGTTGAAATTGGTGTGGGTTTTAATTATTTTATCTATTGTTATCGCAAGTTTGTAGCATGGAGAATTTGAATTAGAATTAGAATTATAAAGGACACTACTAGTTTTATAGGTTTGTTTTGTAAAGAAAAAAAAACAGCGTTACGCAGTTTCAACAAATGAAGGGAACTAGACTGGTTTGTTAAATTTGAAATTAAAAAAATGTAAAATTAAATATGGAACAAATAATATAATAGATTTTGATTTACCATTAATTAAGGTTTTTAGTTGAGATAAAAAAGTCTGTGTCATGAGCAGAATTCGAACCCACGATCTTCAGCTAGATACGACGCTGCTCTACCACTATCGTGACTTCTGTGAAGTAGCTCCGAGTGGATCGTGGTCTGATAGCTCAAGTGGTAGAGCAGCGCTAGCCGAAGATCGTGGGTTCGAATCCCGCTGATGACACTGACTTTTTTTATCTCAACTAAAAACCTTAATTAATAGAAAATATTAATTTGCCAAGCGGACCACGAAAACTAGTGAATTTTGATTTACCTTCTATTTTACACATGTACCTAAATAATATTTGACATTCAAATTAATCACTAATTGTAAATTTTCTTACAGTATTTAATAAGATAATATTTAGTCGTGTAATTCACATTCTTCGCATGTTCGAAATTGATCTGCATCCAAAACTAGCTTTGTGGATCAGCGGGTTCATTCTTACAATTTGTGTCGAGACGTGTTTGTAAATCCTTCAACTTGATTATGATCATTTAATGCTTGAAATAAGAATAGTTGTAAACAACAGATCTGTGAGTAGGACCAACATTTACAGAAAGTGAAAAAAAAAGTTGATACAATTTTGTACAGCAGTACTACTATTACTATTACACTTTGGCATTGATGTATTTGGTATTGATTTGTCACTTTTTTTTCACTAATTCCTCTAAATTTTACTCTGTGCTCTAAATTGACTATATACTCTCCATGTTTTCTTATAATTGTGTATACCCCATATTAATAAATAAATAAATGAAAGTGTATGTTTTATCTGTCTTTTGACTAATCTGAAAAATTATATACCTAAGAGTACGTAAACGAATACAAGTAATTAAAAAAATGTATTAATGCATAATATGGATTTAATTCCATAAAACCTTTTTTCCTTATTCCTGTCTAAAAAACAAAAAAGTTAAGCGTTGTACAATTATTACATTATAGCTTACGCATTTTTAATCATTGTTTTCCCTCCCAACTTCACTTCATTTCATTCAGCCAAAACAAATTACTTCCATTTACAAATTAAAACCAGCTAACGAAGACGAGCGTCGTTAAATATTAATCAATATTGTTCTTTGCTTCTTTTTGAAACACAAATTAAAACTATACTTCTTTGAAGGGAGTCTGCTAACATGGAAGGCCTGATGAACATGGGACAAGCTTTGAGATCTGATAACAAGCTTTAAGTTTAACAAAGTGCTTTAGATATTAATTGAGATTGCACAATAGACTAATATTGGTCATCATGGTACATTATATTTGATACACAAGGTTGTAAAAAGGTTGATTCATACACAGCGCTATTAGTATAGCCAGTAACAGCAAATTTAAGTAATATGTAACAAAAAAATGTTGTCAGGTTCATTTGGCCTAAAATTTGTTTACATTTTGGTCACACACATTCAGCTGGCCATTTTTTTATTATTATTTATTTTTATTACAATCTGTAATAATTATTTACAATAGTAATTTGCGGATACATGAACTTATGTACAACTATTTACATTGAGGGGAGAAAATAATCAATGTTATCCTCCCTTTTCACTTTGTTTATGTTTTTTTTTTACAGTTTACACGGAAAGGAGGTCGCAGGGCCATTTCCTCTTAAGACGCCTTATGGAGTTGTAGGGATGGGTTCTATCGGACAGGGCTTGGGCAAGACTATTTGGATGGTGGGAGAGTTTTTTGTGAAACTTGGTAAACTTTTGGGGAATAAATTTTTGGATATAAGGAATTTGAAGGTCGTTGTGGAGGGTAGCATTTGAGACATAATAAGGAGCATTTACATTGGATCTGAGGACTTTAGATTGAGCTGGCCATTAAATATAATAAATTAAACTTAAATTTTTTTGAACAATTATCATCATACCGGTTTTTAAAAATTGAATGTAGGAATATTGATTGCGTTTGAATTGTCAACATGTTATTCATATCTTATGTTGCATGTAATTGTGTAGTATTTTCTTTTGTTTTTAACCCCATGATGCATTATTTTCCAGGAAAATTATTCCGCTGAGGGTGATATCGGAAAATTCGTACGAACGTAACTCCACGCTGACAGTTCACCTCAGCAAGCCTGTTATTGAAACAAGTGAGTAAAATTATGCGTGATTTAGTACAATTTAACCGAGACAAATTAGTAGTGTTAACAGTTCACAATTGGGGATTTAATATTGGAGCGTTTGAGACAGTACTTAATTTTCTTCCTATTAATGTCAATTTACTTTTTCTATTTCTTTCCTTTTTTTTCCTTTATGACAGAATTCTTTTGAAACAAATTACATTATTATTAGATTTTGTACTTATTTTTAAAACCACGATAGAAGTCCTGTTCAATTAAATATATGTTTTATTTGTGAGTAAAGACTATTATAAAATAAAACAATTATAAAAATAAGATCAAAGTTATTAATTTCAAAGAATTTAGGAATAAAGTGTAAAAAAATGAGACCTAAACTATAAAAAAAAGAAGAAGAAATTTATAATTTAAAGATTAGTTCTAAGTTGTGAAGGAAAACAGATCATTGTACAGTGTTCACAATTTTCAATATATTGACTTTTCCTGACTTTTTCCAGGCACGAATCCGCTACGTAGTTCATTCAGAGGTCATCAGAGTCCCAATGCAGAAAAAGTTGCCCTAGAAGGATTACCAGTTCTCGGAGAAGTATCTGTTCTGCATATCACCATAAAAGAAAGTCTCGAATTTAAGGTAAAACCTATTTATAAAATAACTTGATTAGAATTATCAGATAAAAAACAACACTAAATACAGACAAAAAGAACAAGACTACAATCGTTGCAAAACCCAACTTTAAGCTAATAAAAAACAAAGTAAATAATAAATCAAACAGCTCTGTTTTGTATATCCAATGTCAATTTAATTGCTGGATGTGCTGTTTGACAACCATCTAAAAGATTGGCCACAATTTCAGATGTTTCGATTGCCAATGTGATATTATTTAGTGCAAATTGGCAGTCGTATTGAAATAATATATTTTTCCTTTGCCACCAGACTCGTCCACGAAATGTTCCACCACTTTTATCACATTCGATGCTAAGCTACACATAATAAACTGAAATCACTTAGAGCACTTTTCTCAATTATGATGGTTACTCTTAGGACTTGGGATGGTCAGGCCTCTATGTACAAGGTGGTCAACTCATCGTGTCAAACAAAAATTTCTGTACATATAAAGCGGAGTAGAATGCCCTTAATCTCATGTTTTTTTCTCAATCCATTCAAAAGTGACGATTTTTTTAAAATGTTTATTTAAAAAAAATAAGTGTCTTTACATAAAACCTGAATTTTGTCCATTCTAACGTACTTTTCCCAACTATTGACCCTCATTTTTAGATTTAGTACCGAATTTCTTTTTAGATTAGTCCCTTTTTGTTCTAAAAATTACCAGTCTACTTACAAAATAACTACACATAGATCATGAAATTTGCAAAATGGTAATTTTGGATCAACTTCTTAGCTCCCTTATATTACATTTTTAATATGTCAAACCAGATAAAAAGGTCAAAATGTTATGTGCTTTCCAAAGGTCTATTTGAATATTCAATTTTTTTTTCATTTTTTAATGTTTGTCTCATACTCTTTTTTATTAAACAAGAAGTTTCGCATTATACTCACTTTAGATGTACTGTCACCGAAAAAAAAATTGTTAACACCACCCTGTATATAAACTGCTCAAAAATGAATAGGGATGTTTGTAATTTATTCTTATTGTATTAATTTTAATTAAATTAACCGCTATCTTCTTGTTAGTCGGATAAAACAAAATAGAAAATACAAACCAAAAACAAACAAATGTTAATCCTCGTAATGACAGATTTACTTTAGAATAGAAAACATGAAGATTACTCATTTTGTAAACAGACACTTTTTCTTGTCTTTTCTCCATTTCAATTCAGTTGTATTCTCTTTAACAATGGAAATCTTGAATCTTGTACAAGAAGTTTTAGTATTATTGTGATAATGAGTCATTGTGGTTACTGGCTAGTGGATACCGCAGAAGCAGTTGGCGCTTCTCAGAGCGTGGTCTCTCCCAGACTTTAGCCCGATCCTGAGATATTGAAAGTGCCAATAGGAGGCCTGGTAGTGGATCTAGTGCATTAAAATGTTAAAGGAGTACAGAAATATTGCCAATGTTGCAAGTAGGAACTCTTTCCGTAGCACCTGCCAGATCCTAAAAAGATGCTGTAGCAAGGCCTGTATCAACGATCAACTGCCTGTAACGATTCTTAATCATTTATGGGAAGTTGGCTTTGCATCGTATGCCCCTTTGAGACAACTTGCAGCAACAACCCGCCTCCAGCATCTCAGGATATGGTGCAGCGAGCATTACTGATGAGTCGTGTTTATGACTGTATAATGATAGCAGGCACCAAAGAGCCTACCGAGAACTTGGGATGCGTACAATGCCCCATGCTCCCTTCAGTGCGGTTTGGAGGAGGCGGCGTAATGGTCTGGGATTTACACTGGAGGACGAATTGTACTCTATACTGTTGAAGGCAACCTCACCGCAGTCCGTTATGTCCAAGAAATTAACGGGGAATACTTCAAATCATCTCACGGGCAGGGATTTTCGATTTCTGGAGGACAATGCCAGACCTTATAGAGGGAGAGTTGTTCATCAATGTTTAGAAAAACAGGGAATCTCCCATCTGCCCCTTCCCCCTTTGTCACCAGGCATCAATCCCATCGAGCACATGTGGGATGCGTTGCAGAGAAAGCTTTTTGATCACCATCTGCAGCCAGTTGACCTGCAACAACTGAGTGCAGTGTTGCAACATTTATGGAGTGAAATTAGTGACAACTTATTAACATTTGCCTAACATGTGCACATAGGTTTTAGCTAACAGAGGAAATTATACACGTATTAATTGTTTAAAAAAAAAAAATTATTGTGCCCAGTATACAAAATCATGGAATTAAAAACCTTTTATTTATTACTTTTCAAAATCCCTTAATTAAATTTTCCTCCAGTAAAAAACATAATAATTTCTAATAAACTTTAATGCAGGTTATAATAAAAATAAAATCAAAATCCTAGGGAAAGTAAATACTAAAAGTTTAGATTGTTAAAACTTATAACCTATTTATATTTATTAGGTTTCGTGCCCGCTTGACCAAATAAATTTCTTTCAATTAATTTTTAATTAAGGTTTTTGGTTGAGATAAAAATGGCAAAAAGCAGGGAAAATTCAAAAAGGTGGGGTTGAAATGGGAAGTTAGTGTCCGAGTGGATCAAAGTCTCGATAGCTCAAGTGGTAGAGCAGCGGCGTATTTAGCCAAAGGTCGTGGGTTTGAATCCCACTTGTGACACTGCCTTTTTTTATCTCAACCAAAAACCTTAATTAAAAATTAATTGAAACTTATAACCTATCGTTGAACATAGACAAAGTAAACACACTTGATATTTTTTTATATATATTGTTATTTTACAGGATACAGTTGATATGTTGGTTGAAACTAGGGCTTCCCCTTTCATTGTGGGTACAACTTCCTGGGGTGAACAATTCGCTGATGCAATAAAAGTAAAAGGAGGTGAGAAATTGTATAAAATTATAAAACATTTACAACTTACTTAATATTATAACTTTTTTTCATGTTTAAATACACACCAGTATTTATAATTACAGTTGTTAATTTAGATACTTTAGACATGGTTCTTACATTCTTAGAAAATTATTTTTTTATGTATATATACGAATAATTCATTTTTCCTACCAGGGGATGACGATGATGGCGAGCCCCCTAGTTGTTTTGACTACTTCCTGCACGTCCTAACTATCTTTTGGAAGATTTTATTCGCATTTGTACCACCTACAGGTAAATGATATTATAAATAAGTATAGATAAATTTAAATAAGTACTTAATAGTTGAAAAAAAAATTATTTCTCTTAAATATGTTACAAACTAAGAAGAACCAAAACACTTGACATATTTGTAAAATCATGTAATACAATTAGTATTCATTAACACTCCACTAATTTTAACTTTTTTTTTGTAACAAATAGAAAACCTACGTGATTATACACAGTTGTGTATAAAATATCAGGGATAAGGCAAATTTGAAAGAAAGTAAAACCATCAGCCCCATCAAGCTTTTGAGGTTGAGGTGCCCCAACATGAAGACTTTAAAAATATTTATAATAATTTACCCAGTTAACAAATATAATCAATAATATTTGAAATTATGGCTTCAACCATAAATGTTTAGTGTTGATTGGCAATGGATTACAATTAGGTTCAATGGTGTTTGTGATGAGTTCTAGTCATTTTGGTTTTCTATCACATCTTCAACCATTTTTTCCCGTTAATACTAGTGAAAAATAGAACTCGAACAAGTAGAACTGTTAATAGTACACATTCCAATAAAGAAATAAAATCTATCAATAATCAGATTAAACTGCTCCTTAACTTGCGAACTGGTGCAAATCGGAATAGTTTAAATGCTGATATAAGATATCTTAGAAAATTATGAAAAAAGTTGAATGAACTGAAGAAAGAATTAAGTAACTCTTAAATTCACTGGACTTAAACTGAACTTGTTGGCACTTGGTTAAAAAAGAAACAAATTGTAATTTTAATATTAACCTCATACAAACTAAAAATCCTCGCTCAGTAGTGTCCACAATCAAAATTCAATTTTGAACACTACCTAAAGATGTATGACAGATATGCTTCTTTGTTTTTAATACCTGAACAGGCAATATCAGAGATAATAAAATCAATTTAAAAAATCAGTAACAATTGATTATGGCAAGTCATACAATCTTTGTTTTCCTAATGTGCTAAAATGTTGTAGTCGTGCCAGTTTTCAAAAAAAGACAACAGAGTAGACCCTAAATCACAGTTCAGTTATCAAAAGGGGGATCTACTCTATAGATCACTAATGCACAACTTGATGCAAAGAGTGTTTAAAGCATTTCAAAATAAAGTAAGTTTAAACATGGTAATAAGAGATCTTAGAAGAGCATTCAACACTAGACCATTCTGTCCTTTGTAAAAAACTGGAGGGTTGTTGGTGGCTGCAATGGTTTAGGGTCATCACTGTAAGTTCCTGGATTCGAATCCAGCAGCCCTGCATTGGAACCCGACATACTTACAAATGGGATTTTTCAAAAACATTTGCACCCCAAGAATTCATATAACTTATTAGTTAAAATACTCTTGTAAAAAAAGAAATTTTTTGAGGGAATACACTAGAATTTTGTAGAAGTTTTCTGTTAGACAGACATCAAGTCAGGACTACACTAAAAATTTGAAGGTTCAAAACCAAACATTGGTAGAATTGGTTGACCATGGTAAAACATCTTTAACTGAAGCAATTACCACCGTATTAGCTAGGAAATATGGTCGAAGGGTGAGTGCATTTAATCAAATTGATAATGCACCAGGAGAAAAAAATGTGCGGGATCACTATTTCTATTTCTCATGTAGAATACGATACACCTAACCACCACTATGTGCAAGCAGATTAATAGGAGCTATATTTTTATTATTTATATGCTTCTTAAAAAATGAAATTTTATTTACAATAAGAGATACAGATTTGGCTTTAACAGTACAATAATGATCTGAGTGGGGATGATAGTAGGGGTTTTATAGTAACAAACAGTTTGTCAGCAAGTGTTGTGTTAAATCCAACTCGATGCGGTGGATTCTTGCCTTACTCTCTGTAACTAATCACCTAAATGTATCTGTCATGTCTGTTTATAGGGATGGTACCGTTTTTACAATTAGCTGGTGTTCCTACTTTTCTAACAAATAGAGAACTATCTAGTCTTAAGGGTGTTTTCGATTTTATTTATGACTATTTTCATGCTCTGGCTGTGAATGTAAATAAAAACCAAACTTTATGTTATAACTTATGTGATAGAAAACACCAACATGATACTTCCAATACAAAATTATTAGGCATTTACCTTAAGTAGGAATGACTATATTAATTTTATGTGTGTAAAACTATCTAAAATTTGTTATATTTTGTAAAAACTAAGTGATATGATAAAAGAAAATTTACTAAGAGTAGTGTATGTGGGCCTATTTCGGGATCAACTATTTTACAGTATTTATCACTGGGGAGAAGGATCAAGCTTTCCAAAAATTTTAAAAGTGCAAAAAAGTGTGATGAGGATTAGTTTTAGTAAATCTCAGAAAACACTCCTAGCTGATATTTATAAAATTTAGGATAATGATAGCAGCTAGGATCTACAGTTTTTGCATTATGAAACACACCTAAGAAAATATTGACTCCCTGTAATTTAATGAGGAACTAACATACAATTTCAGAGATAATGGAAGAATTATTACAATTAATTAAGGTTTTTAGTTGAGATAAAAAAGTCAATGGCACGAGCGGGATTCGAACCCATGATCCTCGGCTAGATGCGCAGCTGCTCTACCACTTGAGCTATCGTGACCTCAAGTGGTAGAGCAGTGGCTATCTAGCCTAGGATCATGGGTTCGAATCCCGCTCGTGCCATTGACTTTTTTATCTCAACTAAAAACCTTAATTAATTTTAATATATTAATTGGTCAAGCGGACCACGAAATTAGTGAATTGGAAGAATTATTATTCTGTTTTGCAAGACAACCAAACCATTAAATAGGTCTTAGTTACAAAATTGTACAACATTATTGGCTGTGATGGTAGAAAGTTAGAACTAAAAAAAAAATGAAATGTGATTAAAGAGCATATAATTCTGCATCCTAGATTTAGTGTAAATAAATATGAAAACAAAGGTTTCTTAAAAAAATAAAATATAAATAAATATAAAGATTGGCAATGTAAGTGAATGAACTTTACTATTGGGGGACCGCGGTAGCTGAGTGGTTAGCATGAGAGACTCTCACGCCGCGGTCGTGGGTTCGATTCCCACCGTCGCCTCTGGCCCTTTTTTCCCGATAACCCCCAATTTGAAACAACATATATAAGAATTCGTCATGGCTAATATGCAAAGATCATAAGGCAAAAAAAAAACTTTACTACAATAAAAACTTGTTATTATTATTAATGAAATTTATCTATCTCAATTGTAATGTAGAATGGACAGGTGGTAAATCTCATCCACTGTCTAATCTAAACTTATAAATTAATTATGGTTGAAGCCATACACTTGTAAACCATATAATTCATTAGAAATGGTTCAAAGACCTGATGAAGTTAATATATTTTTCGAAAGCTTTCTGTGCATAAATGCAGGTATGTTTAAAGATGATTTATTGTTTTCAAAAGCAGTGATTAAAAAAAAAAAATCTGGGTACAGCCATATTGGCAATATCTCTCAAGTGCCGATTGATGGAAACATTAGGCACTGATTTTGTAACATTTTAGATCATTTCTCTATGTTGGAAGGAAATTACTTCGATAATGAGGATTATAAATTGTACTCTCTTCAGTTGGAACCCTTCTTTTCTTAATTACTAAATAAATCTGGCCATGAATAACATAAATATCTATATAGGTTTAACTTTGTTTTCCAAACTGTTCCTATAAATACCATGTGAACAATACAAATATGAATTTCGGAAACATTATTTTTCAAGAATAATGTATGTTCTATTAACATTCTATCTCGTATGTATGTTTTGTTCTGGCTAGATGTATGTTGTGGCTACTTATGCTTTGCATTCTCCATACTTTGCATTGGAGTACTCACAGCAGTCATAGGTGACGTCGCTTCACATTTTGGCTGTACAGCAGGCATAAAAGATTCTGTAACTGCTGTAACATTTGTTGCTTTAGGCACGAGTGTTCCAGGTATCACTTAAATCAGCCATTCAGAATTATGCATACAGTAGCACACTAGATTGTATATAAATCACTAGGTTTTCAGGAGAAAAGGTAAGCACTTAAACCGATTAGCTAGATAGGACTTTAAAACTGCAACATCTTCTGAAAACATGAATTTTATGAAAGATCATTTTTAAACACTGCACTACACTTGTTTTTAATTATTTATTGATGTCTTGTTTTCTATCCAACACACAATGCAATTGTCACTAGAAAGAAAAGCCAAAAAAAAAAAAAATTTAAGGAAAGGACCAAAAAGAGTTAAGTGCTATCATATCATCAATATTTGTTACAAAATATAAGCTGTTTTGTATAGTATAAAAATTGCAAATCTGAAAAATTGGATGGTCAATCATTCGGCAAGAACACTCAGTCTGCTGTCTTAAGTGCCTAACACTTTTCTAATCGATTTTGTAATCTAACACTAACTAATTATGATTGTTTAATTGATATGGCAGTACAAAATATTCTGCGTCTTTAACCCTGAAGATCAGTTGTCATTTTGCTTTACTTCAACTTGCTGAGGATTGTTAAGGTATGTAGATTTAATGCTGTGAACTTAAATCTACCAATCTAATTACAAACTACAACATCTAAAGGAAAGGTAAATGTCAATACAGATGGATTTATATATGCACTAATTTCTTGGTTTACCCTTCCATAGACTTATAAGTTATGACAATAAACCAAAATGATCCTTTAATTTGTGTGTAAACTGTATTTCCAAAAAAGAAATATATTATTACAATAGAAATTGTATGTATTACAAATGGATGTACAGGTAAGTATATAAAATGAATACATAAACAGGACTAAATAATTTATAAATTCCAATAAGGAAAATTATTATTTTCTACTACAGAAGCAAAAATTAACAAAAAGTAAAAATTTCATTGCCACTAAAATAAGTTTGTGAATCACTTACACAACACTTCATTTACATATAAACTTGCATAAATTAAAACTACCATACATTTAAATGAATTATTAATTAATGTTTATAATAATAGCATTAATCAATAATGTCACAATTTATTATCGATCAAAACTCTAAAAACTAACCCTAACACTATCTAACATAATTCACCCTTGCCTGTCTCTAACCGTAACCTATAGCCCTGCTGCTAATTACGAAAGCAAAAACAAAAACCTAACCCTAAACCTACCTAACCTAGCCTAACACATTCCTAACCGTAATCTATAGTCCTGTTGCCAATTACGAAAGTAAAAGCAATACCTAACCATCCCCAGCACTCCTAACCTAACTTAATTCTACCCTTCCCTAATCCCCTAATTGTAACCTTAATATACCTGTCCATAATGCCCTAAAACTAACCCTAATCTAAACTAACACGTCCTAACCCTAACCTAACTGAACCCATATGAACTTTTTGGTAACTAGAAAATGATCACGCAAAAAATGTATACCCTCTCCAAAAACATATTCATCTTAAAAAGTAATAATGTGCAAATATTCAGCAGTTAAAGCATCATGTAACATTTTAATTGTATAAGTTGAACTATATGGATGGTTCATGGAAATGTTGTAATTGAAAAATCTGTAGGATGAATTCTTTGAAAAAGTAAATTGTAGGATTTTTAATCTCTTGTTAGTGTTACTATCTACATTGTTAAGAGAAAAAAATCCATAGCTTATTCCAAATTAGGTCAATGAACACAGAAAGTGAAAATTACGGAAATAATATCTAGTTTGTTATACAACTAGTCAGGCCTTGAATGAATGAACCATAATCAAGCAGTTTGATTTGATCATTGGTAAAATTAGTCAGTATTTCAGGGACGATGAGGATAATTGGAAGCCAGGGGTTTGGTATTCTTCAAGCATTGCAGCTTTTTGGCTTATTGTACTTTTCCTAATTCCTTAGTTCAATTCATTTGACTCAATTCTTCTTTTAAGAAGTCAATTGACTGTCATTGCTGCATTTTTCCCAGGTCTTCTTGGTACACTAGATTATGTCTCCATTTAGCATTCAAGGAGAATTTGGGTGACAGTTTCTTCGTTATATAACCTCTAATTGATTTGTTTTTGAATGTGTATCAGTTTTTTATATGTTCTCCTTGTATATATGTTTCTAATAGATGTAGGTATGTAGGCAGCTCTGATGGGATTGTCATCCCATGTTTCAAGAGCAATTGATTTAAAATATGCATATTAACATAAGTGTGATCAAGAAGAGAATGCATTTTATATATTTATTAGACATTAATAACTTCAATGATGAAAAAGTGGAGTTGAGATAAAATCAAGATCTACTTATTATGTACGATTGCACAAAACCAGCCAAACTACTACTAATAAACATGCATACTACAATAGCCATTTTTAAGCTGTTTCCAATTGTATTAAAAAGTGTTCGTTATTTTCACAAGAAAAAAATTTCTGCCTAATAGATAATCCTAAAAGTAGTGCAATTATTGTAAAAAAAATATAATAATAATTTGATTTGGGTGTATTTGGACAATTGTTGATCCTATCTAATGAAATGATAAATATAGAAAGTCTTAATGTGTGTTTCTTTTTAGTTTTTTAGTAAAACACTAATAATATTTTTTTAAATGAATGCATAAATGAACCACATTGTGAGTGTTAGTAAAAGAGGAATCATATAAGTGACGATTATACTTATGAAAATATATTTCCATAGAAATGCTGCATGGGTGGCTATGTTTCTGGGTATCAATTCTATGGATAGGTGTATTGACTGCAACAATTGGAGACGTAGCGTCAGCATTCGGCTGCACTGTAGGAATTGAAGATCAAGTGACTGCTATATCCCTTGTTGCGTTAGGCACAAGTTTACCAGGTACCATATCGACTTCTCAGCATTTGTGTCCCTGTTAAATGTGTCGATTTTCTTTGTAACATTCACTAATTTTATTTTATTTTATTTTTTTAATGAGATAAATTAATATTTTCAAGTAAACCATGTTAATAGCTTTGAATAAATATAGTAATTACCAGAAATTTATTAACTCATGTTAATTAATTTTATTTAATTATTGACATTCTATTTATGTTTGTTGAAAAAATACTTTCATGCCAATGAATGGTACTTTCTCCATATGTTAATTAAAGAAAATGTGCTAATGCATCAAGGTAATTACTTGGTTGTTTAATCTTTTTTTAATTAAAATTTTATTTTCCAATTGTAAGTAAATCAACTGTACTAATATCAGTAACCTGTTAGTCTGTCAGTTTTATTAACATTTTATGTGTCTAATTTCAATGACAACAAATTATTTATAATTTATTATAAATAAAACGTTTATAACATTAATTATGTATCTTAGGTTAAGTTGCTTTATATTTTCAAGTATTTATTAACGTAATTCACATATTAAGCATGATGAATGTTAAAGTAGTTAGCAATGCACCACAACAATAAAATAAATTAGACTTATTTTGAACTTTTAAAATAATTCATGCCTGATTATACATTAAAAAATTCTCACAATTTATATCAATGTTTTACAGATACATTTGCAAGCAAAGTTTCTGCAATTCAAGACTCGACTGCGGATAATTCAATAGGAAATGTTACAGGAAGCAATGCTGTTAATGTATTTTTAGGAATTGGAATTGCTTGGTCGATCGCTGCTATATATCATTCGTTCCATGGAAATGCTTTTATTGTACCACCAGGAAAGTGAGTGAACTTAATTATTAGAAATAATATTATTGTTAACTGTAAGCGGTACATGCACTCTATATCCGTTTTGCTAAGTGAAGCGAGAACATTTAGCATATGTGCTTGTTCATTCTTACTCTCTGCTTGGAATAAATGTAAGGTTAAAAAAAATTATTCATGCCTTCATATGCAATTATTGCAACACTTGTTAGGACCATCTGAATAATTGTGTCTCTCATTGTCTGTTTCTGGATTCCTCCTACCCTCATCAGTGACTCTCCTTGCTTTGGTAAACTCCTCACCATTCGACTCTCCTTCTCTTAGGACTCTCCTCATCTATCTACTCTATTTGACTCGTCTCTGCCTTTTTTTCGGGTCTTGACTCTACTTGATCTGAACTCTCTTACTTTTGGGATCGGGGCTCTACTTGTCTATCCATCTACTTGTGTTCCTGTACTTGACTGCCTCCTTCAAGTTTAATTTTCCAATCCACCCTTTTTATGCTAATCTCCAAAACAAGGTTGAAGGGATGGAAAAGCAAATTTCTGAGGGTAGTCAAACCCCTTCTTGCTAGGATCATTCATGACCTCTAGTGTAATATACAATAGTCCTCAATTGTACGGGCACAAAAGTCCATCTGGTTGATCCACAATGCACGAGGAATTTCCCTTAATAAATAACACACTGTCTTTTTTGTTATTTGTGGAGGCTAGTCACTCATCGCTGTTTTGTCTTCCAACACAAATCTTATCCAAGCCAACTCCAATTTCCAAGAACACCTTGATTTTATTAAATACTTGTGCAAAAAGTGGAGGACAAAACTAGATGAGGAAAAATGTACACTGAAAAAAGCTTTGCCTTCCACTGTACATAAATAAAAAGGAATTATCGACTTCCACACAAGTCAGATACTTAGGACTATACTTAGACAGTAGACTGGCGTGAAATCCCCACACAAGATACAACTTAACGGAAGACTTGGACAACTCTGGAACTGGAAATCATTTCTTCCAGGGTACTTTCTTCATCATGTGTTCTACTCCCATCTGTTTTTAAAATTAACAGAAAATAGGTTGGGTGTCCTTTCATTGAAATTTTCTGTGTCTCGGTAGCAAGGGGAAGTTTATCCATCTCTTCACAGAATTTTCTCCAAGATTTCCTATTTGCTTTTCTCAGAGTTTTGTTGTATTCATTTAGGGCATTTTTGTATTCATCCCATTTACCGTTACTTTTGCTCTTATGTATGTACATTCAGGTTATAATTAAATTTATTTTAAAAAAATATAATGGAAAATAATGTTATAATTTTTTTCTATTTCAGCCTTGCATTTTCAGTGACGATATTTTGTACAGAAGCATTGATCGCAATCACAATAATAGTGATGAGAAGATGCAAATTTATTGGAGGAGAACTTGGTGGTGCGACAATACCAAAATACTTAACATCCCTGTTTTTCTTCTCACTCTGGGTTTTCTACGTTGTCATGTCAACACTCGAAGTTTATCATGTTATCGAAGGATTCTAAGAGCCGGAGAAAAATAAAATCTGATCTTGCTGTGTCCATTATGGCTCTATGTTCATTTGCCTGGATAAAAAGCTTAACAGGTTGTGATAAAAGAACGAAATAGTGATAAAGCAAAAGCAGAACCGTTTGCTGGACATATTCCTCAAAGTATTTATGAACATTAAAACATTTAGTTTGTACGCAGTTTGAAAATACTTGCATTGATGTCACAAATAATTATCTCTCTTTTTTTTTTTTTTTTTTTTTTTTTTCAAAGAAGTTATCAACTCCCTACTTCATAATTTCACTAAATGATCTTATTTATAATTATTATTTAATATTATTTATAATTATTATTTAACTCACCACCAGGTGAAAATATGAAAGACGGGGATTTCCATTTATGAATGCATCACTTACGGGTAGTTCAAAAATCAAATATGTATTGGGACCATTGAATAAACAAAATAGAATGGTATAGTAGAAAAATGAAATGTTACATTTTTAAACATTGTGATGTAAAAAATAATTGGTTCAACTAAATCAAATCTTGACCCCTTCCTCTACTCAAAAAACAAGGGAAAAACACAATTCGTACATTTTTTTCAATTTTATGTTCAAAATTGAGGTGTTTTATTTTTACAGATTTGAATACAACTTCATTCATTAAAAATTATGTTACAAATGTTACTTATGACTTTCGTCTTCTACCACTGTTAATTTATTAATAATTTTGTTTTGTACAGTTGCCTAGTTCCTAACATTTATTAATGTGGAAAGGGGATGGATTTGTTCAAAATTAATTGTATTTAATTATATATTCAGCATTTATATAGCCATTTGGCAGCCTTTTTTTAATTGTTGTTAAGTATATCCACAAAAATAGCTATAAATGAACAAAATCTTTGCATAGCAGAAAAAAAATCTGCTATTCATTCCATAAAAATGACAACTGATTAAAAAATATATTTAAAAAAAACAACCTAAGTTATTGTTATTTTTATTTTGTTTTATTTTTTACACAAATGTTTCATAGTTCAAGTAGGTTAAAATGTAAGTAGATATTTTGAAATTGTTGGTAATTTCAGAATGGTATTTCTATATACTCTTTAAGTTTCTATTTACAAAAGTATTAGGATTGGTTAATTGATTACGATACAGTAGAATATTATTGTAATCGATACAAATATAAATGATACCTATGTTGTGAGACCTAAGAGAGTAGGATTGAACTATTTTTGGAATATTGTGTACAGTTCTTTTCTTTTCTTTTGTTTTTTTGTAAAAAAATGTATAAAAATATATACACAAAAAAAGTAAATAAGTTATAAAAAAGACAAGTTGCTGGAAAAGTTGTAACGTGTATACAATATGAGAACATTAATTCTTACAGTTAAATAAATTTTTGTGTTGTACGGTGTGTAATGCTATCGGTAGTCATGCTTTTTGTACCCACGAAATTTAAATATTGATACGTCAGTTTACTTAAAATATATACAAAAATAAGATTGTTAAACATTACATGAGGATGCGTTATAATAATAGTCAATGTATTCATGATAATATATTAGAAAAATAATTAGTATTGAGCCATGTTTTGAGGGAATTATATATGTGTAAATGTTAATGTCATAAAATTTAAATAATCTATTTTATTGCAAATCATGTGATTAAATTATAATTTGTAAGCATTTAATCGATTTGATCATTTAAATTATTGAAATTTACGATACGAGAAATCACTATTTAGCTACTTCTAAATAGTAGCTTTAATACATAGATAAAGTTGTTTAAGAAAGTGAATACTTCCCTTGTACATATTTTAGTTCTGTAATCAAAAACTTCAAAACTACTTAATCAACTTTAAATTGATTCATGAGAGAGAGAAATATTAGCGTTTGTATATTGTATTATATACAATTGTATTTTTTTGTGTATAAAAATTGCCTTCTTAAGAGGGTGCACAATGTACTCTTCCAACAGCCTTCCAGAAATATATCAAACTTTTGGATAATTGCTGTAGTTCTATTTCCTTACTGTTATGAGTAAAATATCAATTTGTTAAATTTCAAAAACCTAAATACAATGAATAATCCTAATGCTTGTAAAATAAGCCTATAGTGCATAGTGTTTTTTGTTTGTTTTTTTATTGGTAAATTCAATGAAAATTTCAGGTACTTGTATACAAATTTAATCAGCAATATATGAACCATTTTGTTCCACTACCTGTTGCCATCTTCCATGTTACTTTTTAATTATTTCCTCATAGGACATATCAGATTTTGAGCTAAAGTGTGTTTTCTGCAGTCCTCGAGTGTCGTCAAGTTTTTCCCATTGAGAGTTTTGCAGAGTTTGGAATAAGTGGAAATTTAATATGATGGGTGAAGTAACACATCCCAGGCAATCTCCAAATATTTCTGGGGCGAGCTTTATGCCAGTGGAAAACTACACCCTTACGATTATTCAATGATGGTCATTTTTGGTCAAATTGGCTGACTTAAATGGCTCCGATAGTGTGCAACATACAGTAGAATTAACAGTTTAATTTGGCGGAAAAAGCTCTTAATGCACCTCCTTCCAACCCCATCAAACGCCCAACCTTCATGGGACCATTGGCTTTTGGAGTTGTTAACGGTGGGTCACTGTATTTTCCCCAGTTATCAATTTAAAAATGGGTCCTTTTAGAAGATCAACATTAAGGACAAAGTTTGTCTTCTAGTGTTTCATATTTACCTCAAAGATTAATATTATTTACGCTAAAGTTGAGAATCTAAAAGTAGTGTTATAATGAAAAGTGCTGCACCTTTAAGGCCCACTCTTAGCTGAATTAGGAGTATTCTAAGGCGTGATGGTGAATTCAATGACAATTTATGTTACTTGAAAGCAATGAACCATTTTATTCCACTATTTGTTACCTTAGGAATTTCTTGGATATTAAAGGACCATTTGATAATACTCCTATTGAAGCAATGGTCACATCACTGAGACAGCGAGGAACTGACAAAACCTGCTGCAGATGGATAGAATCAATGCTAAAAAGCAGAAAAATGCAGGCCTCCTTGCTCGATAAAAAAAGTAGAACCAGTGTGAATGACATCATAAGCAAACTACACTGACAAATATTTATTTAGAAATCGTCTGGTGTGATATAGGTTTCAGAAAAACATTTCCTTTATCGTGCCAACGTTTCGATCTTTATTGAGATCATCTTCAGTGTTCAAAGTGTTTGTCTTCTGTGTAACTGTGCCATTCTTGTGTGTCGTGTCGAGAGTGCCGTTAAATGCTCCTCGACTCCTGGAAGACTTCAACTCCTTCTGGCGAACTTCTCGCCGAATCCTGGCCAACTCCTGGCCTACATCGGTCCGACTTCGACTCCTCTTGGCGAACCTCTCGCCGTCGTCTCCTCGGCGAACTCCGGCTCTTCGTCAACTTCAGGCCGACTCCTGGCCATCTTCGGGCCGAGGCAGGAGGAGGTGGGGAAGTGTTAAGCTTAGGAAATACTGTTATGCTTCCTGGTGACCCAAGTGTCCTTGTCCTCCCCAGGTCTTTGAGCTACTCCGGATGAGTCCGGGCATTAGATAATCCTGTGGGTTGAGCAATAAGGCCACTTGTCAGCACAACAGTAAATATTTCCGAGGCGATTGCCCAGGATCGACCCACATTTCTAAATCGAAACATCTAACTGTTACCATTTCGCCAGCTTTGTTTAGCTGCGACTGGAGTTTTCGAGTAAGACGAGGTCGACTCCCGAGATTCCAAGCTACTTCCGATTGCCCAACCATACACAACACGCTTTCCCAACAATTAGCCAAACTATTCCTACTTTTAATCTTAATATTTACAATACGCTTAATTTCTACAAAAACCTTGTTTAAGATTCCATTTCAGGAATCGTCACAGCTGTGTTATTTCATTACGTCATTATTGTCTACTTGTATTTATAATTGGCCAAAATAAAATTATATCAATATACATAATCGTGTTTTGATGGATCATCCAGTACTCCTCACATTCACCAAAAGCAAATGTTGCCCAATAGCACACAAGGGATAACCAATTCAGGCCCTAACCTAACATAATCTATCCCGTTCCAAATCCTAACCTAACCTAACCCAACCCGTCCTTAACTGTTTCTAATCTAACCTAACAAAAAAAATGCATATCAAGCCCAAAAATACACCTATGTCAAAATGTCTATTTATTCTCCAGTTGCCATGAGAGATTTGTATTCAAACAAAAATTGATTATTCTAGAATACTTATATCAAAATTATGGTATATTGAAACGTTGTCAGAAAGAAGGTCCAACCTACCTCTTCGAGATGAGGCACGTTGGCATTACTATTGTCAATGGCAATGAACGGATCGATGGAGTGGAAGTGTGAACCACCCCCAGCCACCACCGCCGCCTCCGGAGGTGGCGTGAGACGTCAGCTGTTTCCGCCCCTCGCCATCGACATTCTGATAAGGGGAAAAACCTCTCTCTGACAACAATAACCTATTCAGATCCGTTTGTCGTCGTTAATTGTCGCAAGTGAAAATCGTCTTGGGGCGAAAGCGTTACGCGGCGCGGGTGCGGAAATGGCTGAGGAAGCGCTTGACAAAAGCGAATTTTTACTCGAAGAAGCCGCCGAGAGCGAAATCTCATCTCTCAGAAACAGAAAAGTCATCGACTGTGCTAAAGAAACATTGGAAAATGGTAAAACGTCTCTATTATAATTTTTGTTTTGCTTTACAAGTCGGACCTTGAATTTTGGTTCCAAATTGGTTTTGGATTAAAGACTTGCTGCCAGAAGTTATCGCAAAATAACATTTTTTTGTAACTTTTGACAGGCTCCCAAATTGCGTCCAAAGAACATCAAAACACCATTATGTCTATTGATATAATTTTATTTTAGCCAATTATAAATACAATTAGACATGAAATAACACACAGCAGTACCACTACAGGACGTTTAAATAAAAAAAAAAATCAAGCTAAACAAAAACTATATTATTGTGATTTATGTATTTATGATGTTTACAAATCATATTCTTGCTGCATGATTTACAATTTTTGTTCATTCTGCCCCTATGCCTTTAATAGAGTGAAAAATATATGTTTACTGTAACTGCAAATTAACTTACATACTTCAAATGAATTTTTGTTCTCTCTGATGCACAAAATGAACACACCATCCTTAAATTTTAATGTATTTTGGTTTATTCATATTTTGCATACCAAAAATAGATTTGGTTGTAAACATTTAAAGAAACATTTAAAAAGGAAATGTTTATTACCCAATTATAAAAAAAGAATTTAAAAAATTTTCAACTCTGGCATGGATCACCTCCGTTTAATGCCTTTGCATTTCTTGGAAAAGAATTCTGGTAAAATCCAGGTTAGGGTTGGGTACGGGATGGGTTATGTTAGGTTAGGGCCTGAATTGGTTAAACCTTGTCTGCTTGTATGGCACATTAAGTGCGCCATTGGTAAATATTTGCTTTTGGTGAATGGTGAGCACTACTGGATGTTCCATCCACGTACCCTTTCATTATTCTACACTGATGGACAAAATTAACGCGCCACCCTTAAATTTTTGATTTATTTAGGTTTATTCATACTTTGCATACTAAAAATATGTTTGGTTGTAAAAGTAAGACAGTTGACAATAAAATATGTATTACCTAATTCTAAAAAAGGAAAAAAAAAATATTGAGTAAAGAACAAAAATAAATAAATCAAAACTATTTTGTTCCCCTTAATACCGAGTATTTCCACTTTTGGCACGAATCACATCTGGTAAATACATTTGTATTCCTTGTCCAATCCTTCAGAAAAGATTTCTGGTAAAATCCTGAGGAATTCTTTCCCATTCACAAAGAACAGCTGGTTCTAACTCGTCTAGGTGGTTAGGACCTGGGTTTTGCCGGCGTACTCGCTAAGTTGGTCCCAAATATGTGTGATGGGGTTCATATTTTGTCTCCAAGCTGGCCACACCAAGATTTCAATTCCAACCCCATTGAGGTAGTCATCCACAATAAGTGCCCTATGGGGCTTGGCATTATCCTGAATTGGCAAGAATCTTCCACCAATGTGTAGGGCAAATGGCACTACATGTTCTTCGATTATGTCTTGAAAGTACCTTTGTGAAGTTAGAGATTTTCCTCGTACAACAACCAATTCAGTGTGGGTGTCCAAGGAAAAGCCATCCCATGGAATGCCACCTGAGAAACCATATAGCATGAGACGTCTTCTCCTGGGCATCTCCATATAAAATTACGCCCATCTGAAAATTTGAGACCAACTCTTATTTCTAAAAAGAACTCGTCCCCAATCTTCCAATCTCCAACTCATGTGTTTCCATGCGAATTGAAGCCTGGCCATTTTCTGAGCTGTGGGAAGAAGAGGTCCACAAGTTGGGTGCCTGACCCTGAGGTTATTTTCATTGAGCCTTTTTCTTACAGTCCTGAAGGAAATCGAAACATTTCGGACTTGTGTTATGACATTTCTTCTCTTGTTTCCCATAATGCTGTGGTTTTGTAGAGCCTGATGAGGGATATATGTATTGTCTCTCACATCTGTAGACCTAGGTCGACCCTGTCCTGGCCTTCTTTACACTCAGTCTCTCTGGCGACTTCACTCTGGCTGTATCATTCCTCTAATAAAGAGAGGATACACAGGACACCTGACAGTGTCTATTCACTCTAATGACTTACTGGAGCCATTAAAAAAGGTTTAAGAATAATATCAAATGAAATCAACGAAGGAAAGAGATTAGTGAAAGTGACCTTTAGGCATAGCACAATGGAAGGGCACAATGCTACTTTTTGTGGAAATGGAATTAATAAGTTCAATAGAGAGAACTTCAGAGCTATTTACTGTTTATTTTGACTATGATCACTCCTAATTACCATATGTCTACTAATGTGGAAAGATTTGTGTTTAATTATTCTTTTTAAGCCAAAGATTGTGGGTTCGAATCCAACCCGTGACACCAGGTTTTTCATCTCAACCAAGACCTTAGATAAAAAGAATAATATATTGTTTTATGTTGGTACATAAGCCTGACTAATTTTGGCTTGTACAGGCTGCAAAATACCCTGTCTTGTATGCACTATTACTCCCAAATAAAAAAAACGTATCAAAATAATTTTCTTTTGATTAAATGATTTGTTTTCAAAAGTGTAAACAAGAAGACAGTAGCAACAACAACAACAGCAAAGCTTGTATTGTTTGAAGGTGACAAAAAGGCACAGCCAAAATGGCTAGATTGAAAAAGAGTTAATGAACTGTAATTGTATTATTGCAATTAGTCTCAATTTTTCAGTTTTAAGCGATGTAGCAATATGATCTGCCCTTATCGTTATTCTGCTTGTATGTCTATAATAGAGCGAAAAATATGTTTTTACTGCTCCTTTATATAAACTTAGTTACTTCAATAAATGGTTTTTATTGTTTATGTTGTTACATTATCCTAGCCAATTTTGGTTGGCATAGGCTAAGTTTATACTCGTTTATTAATGCAAAAATACCTTTGCAGACACTATTACTCGCAAATTAACAAACCATGTCAAAAGAATTGTCTTTTGGTTAAATAATTGGTTTTTTTAACTGTAAATGAGAAGGCAAGGATACTAATAACAAAAAAATGGCTATGTCACAAAAAGGGTTAACAAACTGTAATTGTAACACCTTGATCATTCTCGATGATCTGTTTTTATCGCTGATAGGTCCAGAATGCTTTTGTGGTATAGATGTCCATTATCAATGACCAACTTAGGAAGACACGAAAGTGAAAAAATGATGGAATTCACCAGACACAAACAATCCATAAACCTCCTGGAGATATTTATAAAGAAAAAAACAATAGAACGCATCAGAGGACGGAGGAAGTGACACAGAATCCAAAGTTATTTTTGAAGGAGGCATTTGAGGAAGAGCGGGATGCATACATTGGGATGTACAACATAACCATGGATTCACTTTCTAATAATGAAATTTCTTGATGAACTGGGACTCGTCTGTGTGCTGTAGGTACAAAATGGGGTATTCAATAGCTTTCAAAAGGCACAATGCCAAACTAGTCTGCATTTTTACATCTCCATTTGTATCTGTTCCGTTGTCAGCATTGTAGCAATATGATGTGTCCTTTTGTTCAATCGCTTCAATTTCGTTTCCTGGAAGACTAAAACTATGAACCTTTTTTAATAATTTTGAAAAAATGTAATATTTCATTTATCAATATAGAAAAGTTGAAAGACTTTTATAATACGGTCTGTTTATTATAAACTCTTACTGTTTTACAGCATCAAAACTTCTCAGAAGAAAGATTCCATGTACTGGCCATTTTATGACACCGAGAAAGTTATGGATACAAACAGTACCAACAAGAGTATGTTGTTTTTACATTGATGGACATTTATATTCTCCTATTTTATGAATTAAATTTTCTTTCTATTTCAAATTAGGAATGTGATGTTGTTATTATGTTTCCAAATGGTGCTCAAGATAACACGTTGATGTGGCTTCTGTCTCGACTTCGTGCTGGTACTCCAGGCCTGGTTGTACATGTCAGACATCATGCTTCTTCTCATAGTTATGGATTTTACCTGACAGCTCCTTTCAATGTGTAAGTTTCAATTATTGATTATAAAAAATATTGCATAATTCAAAGTAACAACACTAGAAACTGTTTCTCCAAACATCTACTGTATAAGTGTATGAATAATTTTTGGCACTCTGAAATATCATTTTTAGTATTTTAATATAACACCGAAGTATTTTTTAAGTAATTAAAAAAGAGCAAATCAAAAAACCAAGTGTACGAATAATTTTTGATCCATTTTATGTTTTATTTGATAATTTCTTCTTTATACAAAATAAAATCAATTAATTTGAAAAACCTTTTGAAAACAGGCTTTTAAAAGCAGCTGAAGAAGTGCACCTGCCTAAAAGTTTGAAATCAGGCCATGGTGGTGGTTTGAAAGAATTTGTCCAAGCTGAGGCAGATTATTTCGAAGGCATCGAAGATAGTGAAACATTTTTTTCTACTCAAGAAAGACAGTATTTGGTTTTACATCTACTTCAAACCCTGAGGGCGTCTGATGGTGATACTCTATCCGGTCTGAAACTTATCGATGGCCAGCCAATAAGTAAGCTTTCATTTACTTTTTCAATGTTGCTTTTTTATTTACTTTACAAATCTGTTTGTTTTTCAGTTCCAAAATGTGAATCAGCCGGTATCATATCTCAAGTGTTTCCTCTTCATGATCTCGATGTTTTAAAACAATTGCAAAACAATTGGGTCCGAGCTTTTTTTAATAAACAACCCTTGGGTAATAATTCATTAACATTATTAAAACTATTTCTAATTTTTCTCAGTACAGGAAGCTTTAACTTTTCCAGATTGCATCAGTAATTACTTTGGTGTTAAAATTGCAATGTATTTTGCATGGTTAGGGTACTACACAGCTGCACTTATCGTGCCTGCTGTGGTTGGTTGTGCATTTTCTGTAAGTAGAACATTATAAGTATTTTAATTCTTCTTGGTATAAGAACTGATCTATTATCGTTTAAAATATATTTGTAGTAGATTCCAAGTAGATTATTATGCATATTTTTTTACCATTTTTATTTTCCTAAAAGGATTTTCTTTAAAATACGTCCAAGAGACGTGTGGTTTTTATACAGGTTAATTTATTTCACAATTTTTCTTCTACATTTCGGGCAATTTTTTCTTTTTCTGCCCATCATCACAAAACCCTAACAAGAAGTTCAGTCAAATTAGTATACATTATAGCATAAGTAATTAATATCATTTACATTTTTATTTTTTATTTTAGGGTTAAAAACATCAATATTAATTACCTAGCCGTCTCGCCTGCCATCCCATTGCATTTTTTTCCTAATAAATAGTCCAAATTGTTAAAGGTGGCAGTTTATATATAACTCTTTCAATTCAACAATAGGCACAATATTAAATAATCAATACTGTCACAACACTTTCACACAAAACCAATATGACAACACAAGAATAGCACCACACTTTATGCCGTGAAGATGACCTGAATAAAGGTTGAAATGTCAACAAAAAACTGAAAAAGCAGTTTTTTGAAACTACCTCATTCTTGACTGCTCCTCACGACTTCAACAAATAATTAATACTGTTCAAATTAAATGATTTCACCATAAAAGACTGAGTAATGGCTGAAAAATTGTATTGGATAAGTAGCAATATATTTATGATAAAAAATAAAGTATTAATTAAAGAAGGGTGGCTAAGAAACATCAACACTTGACTTAAATATGCTAAGCAATAACCCTGATGGATAATTTGTTGATAACCATATCGATTTTTGTTCTAGATTGGATATGGAAAGTGTGACCAGGCTACGGAAGACATAGGCTTTGTTGTGTTCTCATTTTTTAATGTTTTATGGTTTAGTGTATATTTGGAAGCGTGGAAACGGTATTCAGCTGAGCTTGCATATAAGTGGGGAACATTAGATCAGAGGGATGAACTGCTTGTTGAACCACGGCCATTATTTTCGGTAATGACAATACTTCTTGTTGATATTTTTCAGAAATTAATGTGTAGAAATAAGGGACCAACACATTATATATAAATAAACCATATGTAGTCTTGTTGGGGCTGGGGCAGATTTGTGCTGGGGAGTCAACATAGCGCCCTAAGTTCCCTGGGCAAATTTAGCTCTGGTGTGCTAGGAGATGTGGACTTTTCTATGTAGGCATTGTAAATGGTTTTTATTCATATAAAGTGTAAGCAATGAAATAGATAAACAAGTTGAAACAAAAATATATAGAAAGAGAGAGAGAGAGAAATAAGAAAAGAGGTGGACCCCCCAGCACTGTGGCTGCAGCCAGTCACTTGTGTTGGTATGGTTGCTGAGGCTCGGTTGGCCCTCCACCTCCCTTCATCATCTGTGACATGACTGATGTGTCCCACACAATGCTCAAAAACAAATGAATTTAAAAACCTTGTAATTAGAGGTACAAGTAAGCAAGATGAAGAACTATTTTGTAAAGAAACAGAGATTTTTCTAGCTGTTCGTAAGTAGAAAACTCCAAACCTGACATCCATGTGTTAACTAGCATACCAATTTTCAGAGAGGAATGTCATTAATAAGGATTCAAACTTTACAACAATAAAGTCTTTGATGAGGACACTTATTGGCCCTGAACCCTATTAGGGTATACCAAACTGCCAAAAATGTGGATATGTCAGACAATAAATTTAAAAAAAGTCTGTTAAATGGTAATGCAATCAAAGAGAGGCATGTCAAAAAGTTCATTGAAGAACCATTGTAGAGACTAATGGCAAAACTACTAAATTTAGAGCATATTAGGAGCAGGATAATAATTGTACTGCTAACTGGACACTACAGAGTCCGAAGGCATACAAACTTGGAGAGGAGGAACAAGCCATGTGATTTTGCCAGTAAGAAGAGGAGACAGTGTGTATTCTGTTGGTGCGTAGGCTTAGATTCATATTTCTGGGAGAGGAAAAACCTGGGCTTGAAGGATACACATGGGAGTCTTTGAAAAAGCTTTGGGATCTGGTAAAAAGCTTTGAGTTTAATGAGAAGCTCTAGACCACAATGGAAATCGTAAAGAATCTTAATCGTCATTAACAATATCAGTAGGCAATAAATAAGTGAATTTTCAGAGTGGAATGTCATTAATAAGGATTCAAACTTTCAAACAATAAAGCAATACGATATAATAAAAAGTAAAAATATTGTTGGTATCCCAAAACCTAATTTGATTATTGGTAGGGTTGATTTGTTGTTTGATATCTAAATTTACTCCTTTATTTTTTGATTTTGATGTGTATAAAAAAAAGGTTTTATGTTTCAGGGCACTTTAGAAATTAGTCCTGTCACTGGGAGATTGGAACCATTTTATCCACCATGGAAACGCTACATGTTCCGTTATTTTGTTTCAATACCAATAATCGGTTTGTGTCTCATCATTGTGTTTGTAATAATGATGCTTAATTTAAAACTTCAAGTAAGTTAATTTAATATATTGTATTTAAATTAACAAAATAGTGTGCAGAAATAACAAATAATATTTGTCTTAGGATTGGTGGGACCGTCAAATTGAGGATAGAGGATATGCATTTTGTCTTAGTTATTTACCAAAAATAATGCTAGCGATTGGCATTACTCTTCTTGATGAGGCATACTACAAAGTTGCTTGCTGGCTCAATGATAAAGGTATTTTATTATGGTATGATTGTAGTTTACAGGTTTTGTGTGCACTAACATATCGCAAATCATTGTTTGCATTAGTCATAACTAGAATTTTATGATGATCATTCATCATCATGATAACTAATAGCAGATAGTGGACTTTCTGTAAAGTTTACAGTTTCAACTAGCATTAGAGTCAATTATGAAATAGTTAGAGATTTGTGTTGTTTAGTTTAATTCGTAACAAGCTAGTTAATTAGAAGGGAAATGTGAACTTTTAATTTAAAATATTATGTAGCTCAAAATCTTGAATTAAAGATAACACTATATGGCCAATTAAGTTCTGTCTTTTCTTATGAATAAACAAATTTAAATGTCACTAGTCAGATAGATTTTAAAGTAATTAATTTATGTTCTACTATAACAGGGAAAGAAGATTCATAGAAACAATGTATAACAAGAAAATAACCACTTTCATGGATATTTCTCTAGTTTTGCACATTCAATAATTTTCCAATCTGAATCGCTTTTATTCTGACAATGACAAAATTGTATTAACATGGAAATGCTTTTGGGTTGGATACATAATTTTTTTGCATGACTGTTTTTGCATTGATGGAAATTGTGCATGGGTTGGGTTTAGGTTAGGAAGCATTAGGACTAACAACAGATTAGGTAAGGACAGGTTAGGTTAGGTAGGGTTAGTGTTAGGGACAGGTTAGTGTAGATTTAGGGCGAGTTAGGTTAAGAACAGGTTAGGTTAGGTAGCTTGTTTGTGTCGGTAAATTGAAAAAGCTTGTTGTCAGATTTGTCAAGATGTCGACAGTTTGAAAAAAAAAGAGTGCATTTTGTATTATTTCTATTCTGTTTTATTTTAATGAATGCTGATGATGCTCACAAGGTGAGTGAAAGGCATCTTCCATAAAAAGAAAATTTGCTGGTTCTAAAATATTTTTGCATTTACCTAAACAGGAGGTTCTATCGCAAAGAAGTACAGACATTAAAAGAAATATTGAGGTTAGGTTGGATTCAGGGTTAAGAATGGATTAGGTTGGGTATGGTTGGGGACAGGTTAGGGATAAGGTTTTTTGTAACCTGTAACAGATTAGGTTAGGTAGGGTTAAGTTTAGGGTGGTGTAGGGATAGGTTGCATATCCATGATTCAATGTTTTTCCATGAAACTACTTGGTTTTTTTAGTTCACATTTAAAACATCGATATCTTTGTTTTCTTCAAGTAGACAGTTGTTTGTCCTATCAGTAATGCTAGTACTTTTTGGTCATTTCCTCCAGCCTCTTTGCAACTGTATACATATTGATTGTATGTGTTTATTTTCTTCCCAAATATCAATTAGTACTTTAGATTAATTAAAATTCCTCCACCCCTATATTTCCATTATTCTTTGTCCCAATAGTAAATAAATCTAACTAAAGAACTCAGGAATACTTCCTAACATCTAAACCAATCTTGATAAGGTGAATAAATAAAAGTGAATGTGTTGTAGTAATGTGCATTTTCGTACAATTCAGTTGCAGTGCTTTTTTTTTCATTTTTTTAAGGACCGCAAACTACATTGTTTATTGCCAGCCCTCTTTCTTTTCTTTGCTTGTCTTTCCCGCATTTTAAACCTACTATTTATTTTCCTCTTTCTCCAGCCCAGTTATGATGTTATATTGCTAGCCTTTCTATACCTCAGGTCCTCATCACTTGTGCATAAAATAACACCAATACATAGAAACAAGATATAACAAAACAGAATAGTTGGTTAGCATTCACACTACCTCAGAGTACTCGACATTCCTTGGGGTAATTGGGAATAAGCCTCCATTCAAGCAAATAAATACATTCTTTCTGAGAGTTTTATATACAAATTAAAATATATTTGGCCCTGAGATATTGGATCAGTGATTTATGCCTACTGCTATGCCTCAAAGCTATGCATAGGTCATTCAGGATGTTGCATTTCTTTCTTTGCATACTTAGTTCTTTGCAATCTATTGTTATGTGATGTCTACACAAGGGGCATCTATGTGGTCTCATCCTCACTAGAAGTAATAGATACATAAAGGACACTATGGCAATGAAGAGGTGGATAGCCTAGCCAAAGAAGGCTCAAATACTACGTTTTTCGGGCCACAACCGGTATTACCCCACTCTATAAGCACAGCGAAAGAGAGTATTAATAGCTGGGGCATGAAACAATTCCTTAAAGAATGGAATCTGTCCCCCGGACATAGGCAATCGAAGGAGTTTCTGAAGGAAATCAAACCAAAAGAAACGAAATGGCTATTCTCTAACTCAAGGAGGGGAATTAGGAGGCTGATAGGTATTCTGACGGGCCATTGCCCCTTGAGAAGACACCTCTTCATAATTGGTATTTTACCAGACCCCTTCTGCTGCTTCTGTGAAATAAAAGAAGAATCGGCACGGCACTACCTCGCAGAGTGTGATAGGTATGCCAGGCATAGATTTGAAACTTTTGAAGGAGAGGACATTGCCAAATCACTCCCCGAGATAAAATGGTCCAAAATCTTGGGGTTTGTGAACAAGTCCAAGAGGTTTATGCAGGACACGTGAACCGACCAAGTCCCGGACCCTTTAGGTATGGGGTACGAGTCTACCCAGGCATTTAACCCCTCGGGTCTTGGTAGCCCACCCTGCGTAATATATATAGGCAGGGATATTGGTATGACCTATGAGCAACCTGGTAAGTATGAAATTTTCCCTTCTAAACCCAACCTTTGCAGACCAGAGACCAATGTCTTTTTTAAATTTCTATAATTTGGATGTGTTTGTTTCGTTCCAGTGGGTTCTCCATTCATTTTTTGTTACATTAGCTATCGTTCTTTATAAATCCGCTGGGCGTGCACAGTGGATGGGGTTCTGTGGTCTCGTTGTGGCTAATTTCGCCGTTTTAGCTTCTTGTTCACTGCTGGTTATGCAATGTGCTGAGCAACCCATGCCAGGCTGACCTTTTTCCCACTGTCATCATTGAACATAATTAAATAAAATTACAAAAACAAAGATTTAATGATTTAAGATATTTGTTAATTGGACATTTACTTAGCATAGAACAAAATTGTTAAATTTTTATGGAGAATTATGTTAAAAAATCTTGATTATAACTGTTTGTACATACGAAAAATATTTTAAAAATTCCTGAAGTGACCCTTTTTGCTGGGGGTTCAATTTTCAATTTGTATCTCTGAGGAAGGATACATTGTCTAGTCCAGCGCGGTAAGAATCCAAAGTGTTCACACTCTTTATGGCCAGTTTTAACAGTAAAATTAAAATCTTAAAATACATTAATAAGATTTATTCACAATTAATATAAGATAAAAGAAAAATAAAATAAAAAATGAAATAGTCATTTTGGGTGAAAATCTTCACACAAAAAAAAAAAAAAAAATGAGTTGTGGAAGGGAAGGAGGTCTTGAAGGTCAATGGTTTAGGCTAATTAATCTTCCACAGGGAAAATCTTAGGAAATTATGTCAAAAAAATACAAATTTCTTTTCTTACTCTTCTTCACCTCTGAAGTGAGGAAAACTTTCTCCGCTGCCTCCACTTATTCAGCTTCAGGATCTTTGGAGTCCTCGGTCTTACAACATTTTTTGTAATGTAGCAGAGAGAATTTTCTCTTTCGGACTCCTGTATAAAAGCTTTCCTAGACTTAGCAATGTATCCCAGGAGATCAATAAAAACTGTTCATGATTTAAAAAAGTTACACTTGTGCTAAAGGGAGTAGAAAAACCAATTGCAATAGACTTTTAAACTTTCTTTTGGAAGTAATATGTGTATTTGGTCTTGTATCTACAGGAAAATTATGTTGTTAAATGCATAATTATTATTAATAACAGAAGCATAATAAACAATATAATATGTACAACCTAATTAAAAAATAATGATCAGATTTTGGCCAGATCGGGGATCAAGAGCACTGTCGATAGGCATAAATTACACATTACATATACTGTAGGTATAAAGGAAAAATATTGAGTACACCACCCAACTGAATACTTTGAGTGCCTCACTTGTAGAAGATCTCACTCAATTAAGGATGTTGTTGACACACGGACTAGGCATGTAGAAAAAAGTTGCTCGATGTGTCCCACCTAAGTTAAGGATGCAATTTCTTGGTTCCATATATAGACCGCGTGAGAAAGTCAACAGATGGAGAATTATGCTTGAGCATAGCAGTGGGTGTGTGGGTTTCCTGTTCAGATACTTGGAAGAAACATAGTTGTTTTATTGTATGTAGTGCTAATAGTCTCATGTCTCTAGAGTGTGTTACGATATTATTTATTGGCGTGAATGTGTAATGTGCCAACAGCAGAATATTGAGTACCCCATTAACCGCCAGCTAGGTTAGTTATACTGTAGGCATAAAGGAGAAATATTAAGTACTCCACCACCTAACTGAATTGTATGTAAATAAGTGAGTGTGAATGAATGGATTTAGAAAGTGATTGTGTTGGGCCTAAAAGACCTAACTGTTGACAGCCCCTTGAGCCCAACCTCAGTGGTTGGACAGATATGACTGAGGTCTGACCCTGGACTGCCATACCGTGGTGATTCTTAAGGCCTGCCGGTATTTATTGTAAATCACATTGTAAAGTTCGAAGTGCTGGTGGACTGCAAGAAGTGACTGACTTAACTCCGTACACGTATTGTACACATATGTACTTGTGAGTGTAGATTTGAGCTTATATAAATTAGTAATAAGTAATCAAATTTTTTTTCAATTTGAGAGAGTTTTTGTTACTGCCAACTTCACCGTTGTCACTGTTGGATTTATAAGCTCAAACAAAAAGCAGCAAAACATAACAAATCTAACAGATTGAAACATCATGTGGGTAGACAGGGATAATCAAACTTGATCAAACTACTATCACAACTTTTATTAGAATTTTTTCTTTACTATCCTCAGTCATTCAACTGCAGAAGTTTGCTATTTATGAATATATCTATAATTTGTATACTCAAAGATGTGTTTAGTGAAGAAACACTCAGTATGGTCTAGTGCTACTTCATATGCCAAACTTACTGTATAAAGTTAAAAACGTAAAGTATTTCCCACCAGACTTAACCAAATAATTTTGGGTAAACTTTACAACACTTTTTTCATTTGATCAATTGAAAAGCCATAGCCCTAACCACTCGGCCATCACAGCCCCTTATTTACCACACAATTTAAAATACATTTATACAATACATATTAGATAAAGTAAAGTTTCTTTAATGTTTTGTACTAATATCTAACTAATGTTTAATGAAAATACTATGAAACTACTTTGGTAACTTGAATACATGAAAATAGATATAGAATACATGAAAATTTCAAAAAGTTATTAGCTGGCAAATTCATAACATCAAGTGTAATTCTGTTTTCATATATCTTTATTTTTCCTACCATTTTGTATTTTAAAAATGAATACTGCAAGATAATTATCAAAACAAAGAAAGTCCACTGTCAGCATAATTATTGGGTTGTTTAACATGATATGTCAAAATATAATATTTTCTATGATAATGACACTAATTAGAATTTGTTATTAGATGTAAGTAATTAGACGAACTACTCAGGTGGAATACTGATTAAAAATATAAAATAAACCCAGCTGATAAATTAACAACTTACTTGGTATATATTGAAAATACACATTCTGATAATAACAATGTTTAAATTAATACTTACTTACAAATATCTTTTGGATTATTTACCAACTGCAATTAATGTAATGTGGCTCACTTTATTTCTTAAAAAAAAAAACATTCTAGAAAAGAAAATTCAATAAATAATGATATAAAGTAGATTTGAAATGGAAGTGTTGAGCTCAAACTCTTAATAAATTATGTTGATTATATAAAGTTTATATCGACCTTTTATAATTTAAGATGAAACTGCATATTCAATCGCCTCTTCCCAATGGTATAGCAGAAGACAAAATTTTTAAACAATTATTAATCTGGTTGAATTTGATACTGCCTTATCCTTTCTCAGGTGTATAACAATACTAATGAATTTTCTGAAGCTTAGACAATATTTCGATTATTTAAATAAATAAATATCATTAAAAAACTTTGTATATATAAGAATTACGTGGGACAAATGAATCATGTGAAACAGCCCAAAGTTGACAAAAAATAAATAAATAAAAGAAAGTAAATAAATATAAATATTAAAGCTAATAAGATTGCCTGAGGATGCCCTAGTTTCCATTTAGTTTTGAACTCAGTCCACCACAAATAAAATCTATAACAGAACTATTCAGAGTGGGGATGAATTTTTTAAAAAAGCAATTTTGAGTAAATAATTATTAGCAGGAATATAATAAGGTGTTTCTTTTAGTTTGATGATGTTGTAGTTTAGGAGTTATTTCAGTGTTAAGTTGTATAGTACAAATTTTCAAAGGACAAGCTCAATTGCAACATTGCTTGCTTTTATCTTATTTGTGATGGAAGAAGTTATATTGCCAAAAGACCGTTTTTATTTCTCTAGTGTTTTATTACAAATTAAATCCAATTTTGGTTCAGGTTTCGTTCTGTAAACATTTGTTTTACTGGTATGTTATAAATTATAATGCTCCAAGTTATTGATGTTTTTGTTTCCATCAGAAAACTACCGGCTTGAAACCAAGTATGAAAATCACCTCATCGTTAAAGTCGCATTGGTGTGTATTCTAACAATCGCCTGCATGCCGCGCTTACACTTTTGTTTGTAGCTTTTCTCATTTTAGTTTGCATTTATTGAGCTGAGATGCAAGTGTTATTTTCTTAAATATTTAATGTTATTAATCGGTTTATTAAATAATTTTGTCAATATGATTTTATCATCATGGAATGGAATGTTGAGTTATGTTTAAATTAAATTTATTTAAATTTGAGTGGTAGGATATTGTTACTCAATGAAAATTAAAACATAATTTTATAAGCTATGTTACTGTTTTTGGCAATACAACAGTTACATATAAGATTTATTCCTTGACCATAAAACGAATAAACAAAATATTTTGTTGTACATGTAGTTATCATCATATAATTTGATCATTACTGATCCATCTTGGTGTTTCTATCCTCACTGGGTTGGACTGTCAGATGCGTTTCGGCATTTCATGAGGATAGGGAGACCAGATGATTTGTAACAATCAAATTACTACAGGTTCATCGACCCGCAGACTACTGGAGGGAATCTCACAATTTATACCATGTTTAAACGTTAAGTCTGAATTAACTGTTAATATTTTGAAAAAAAAAATAACAGCATTATTTAACATTATTTTTGTATATTAATTTGTAGAAACAGCAACAGTAAATTTGTCATATTTTGAATAGCTGGATCAAAATTGCTTACAATATAGTGTAAGCTGCTTAATGAGACATACATTTTTAAAAACATACGATATCATCAAGTTTATGGGAAAAAACACAGCAACTATCACTTACATTTTAAAATTCAACATTTTGCTCTTGTTTTATATATTCTTTTTTCGTTAAAAAAAAAACTTTTTATATTTTATTTTGGTTGCCTTTCTTCTGATAAGATTCTATTCACCTGAAAATTGCCGTAATTTAAATGAAGAATTTTTAAAACAAACAATTTTCCTTCAACATTTGGCATTTTGGTAAAATTCTTAATGATTCTTTTGAATTCTTTTCTACTACAACCAACAGGTGGACCAAATTTGGTGGAATCCATAATTCTAAGTGTTGAGTGAAGGATGAGGCCTCATATCTGATCACTTTTTAATACAATCAAAATATGTCGATAGCTTATGAATTTGTTTTCAATATATGTATATATATTGAATTGTTTTAACAAAGCTTAAAGCATACTTCAACAGCTGGTAATCTTTTGTTTTTTTTTTTTACTTGTTGCTGTGCAAATACTATTGGTCATAAATAATTAATAATTATAATTGTTTGAATAAATCTAATCTGAATGTCATGTAAGAGAAATAGTTGCTGTTATCAGCTGTTCCCATTTGGTTGAGAGTAGTTTTTTTATTAACCCACCAAACACAATGTAAATAGTATCCAAACTATTTTTGGGCTGGTAAAATTTCATTCCTTCACTTTACTACATAATTTATTTTTCTGAGCATTAAAAAGTTAATGTACATTGTTTTGATCAGAAATCACTTCATCTTAAAAATTAACTTAACCTGTTCCTAACCCTAACTTGTAGCTAACCTAATGTACCCTGTTCCTAACCCTAATTTGTCCTTAACCACAGTAACCTGTTCTTAGCCCTAACTTAAGTTAATTTAGATTGCTTCGATCAAATATTCACTTATTCGCTTATACCCTATTTACTTTTAGGGTGATCCATAGAAGTTGACAGATTTATATAAAATCCAGCTCCTTAATGAATAATTTGGTAAAAGGTATTGATGAAGACATAATTTTTTCAAGTAAATTACTTAACTTGAATGTACTGTTCAATTGACAGTGGATTATCTATCACCTTCTACTACTCAAGATCACTTTAACTAATACTCATCAAAGACATAACTGCTTAGCTTAATTACTACACCATTGTAAAAAAATGTGATGCAAAAAATATAAACTGCAATAGAGCACATTACTATTTGTTCTGCGGTACAATGCTTTTATTAAAATAATATTCACACATTGACATATTTCCATGTTATAATCTGCAATTTTTCCAATTTTTGAATAATTCACGTATTCTGCTTTTTGTATCATAAGTGAGTAGCAAGTGGGGCACAATTATTGTAGCTGCACCTTTAAATAGCACAATTTTTTATTAAAAACAAAAATGTAATAAATTTGTTTTAAAATATAAAATATGATGTTTTTTCTAAGTAGCTACATAAACTTATTTAATTTGCTCATATTACATTAAAAAATTTGTTTGCATTTTTTATCAATATTTCTTTTTCATATGCCTTAAATTTTGAAATGCTTAGTTGCTTTTATCTACTTGTTCAGTATTTTTATTATGATTATTTATCATTAATTGTTGTATTTTTATTTATAGTTTATGATACATTTCATTATTTGTATTTAAATATTTATAAAATGCTAAATATGCCATATTTTTCTAGATATCTTTTGTTTAGAAGTTAAAACAATATTTACTATGTTAAAAATACTCAACATTTATGAAAGCACTGTTTACACAGACACCTGTTTCATTTTTCAACGAAAGTGTGTTTCAATAAAAATTTGTTTAATATCTATATTAGAAACAAAGGTTATAATTATCAATTATGTATGAAAGTTTTAAAATTAATCATTATGCCATGGTTCTTTGGAGGTTCAGCTTACCTACTGGTTGGTGCTACAGCCCTAGTTGGGCCTTGGTATCAAATTGGCTTTAAGAATCACAAGCAACTTTTATCCTCCACTTTCCCTCGCCATCTTGTTTTCCTTTCACTCGTACCTCACCTGGCCTTCCCACCATCAACTTCTTTGGCAGTTTTGTATCTGGCATCTTCTGAACATGGCCTACCATCTTTCTCCATTTTTTTAGAAGGGCTACTATATCTGTCTTACCAAACACTTTCCCAGCTCTGAACTTTTACAAATAATCTTAATTTCAAAATACAAGAGGTTATCAAACATTATCTGTGATGCATCATGCCAGGCCATTTTCACAATTCTGACTAGTTTTTACAATTTAACATTCTTATGTCCCTCTTTACTGTCTCTCTATTTACGTAAAAACCTTGCCTAAAATCTACAGGTGGTAAGGCTCACATTACAATTTGTTTTTTGTTTTTTTTTCCAACAGTAGCTTTAGTCTCCCCCAGCCTTAAGCCATACTGGTAGTATGTTGCATACCACCAACAGAAGTACTGTGTTAATTTTCTCTTTCTGACAGAGCTCTTGTAAATTGGATAAAGAACAGCTTTGCTTCAATCCTCCGTTAATACTCTCTTGCATCCAGATGCCCCATATCAATTTGTATACCTGAGTCACCATGGCCCGTCTCCCAAACTTAAGCTCATCTGGTATCCCTTAATTCCTGCAGCTTTATGATTCTAATGAGTGATGCAATAATTTCCAATCCTCGGTCTGGGGTACTTCCTCATCATCCACTTCCATCACCCACTTGTCCACATCCTACTACTACTTACTAGAATCTTACCATCCCCATCCTCGTAAAATCAGTGCCTCATAATTTAAAATCTTTTCCCCCTAAATAAAATTTTCTCCCAAACAACAACCGAATATTATCAAGCTTCTCCATTTCTTTCTTCTCTTGCCATCACTCTTCCTTAACACAAGTGATAATCTTGCTTTAAAAACAAAACAAAGGAATTGCTTAAGCGAATTGACTTCAGTTTTGAAGGTTTAGAGGATAGCAAATGTTTTTATCATTTAATTAGACTTTTGCCTGAGAGATGTTGGAGCTGGTATAACCTAGAAAGAAATTAAAAATATTGGATGTTATTCTACAATGCAGTGCCCAAATCAAGACTCATCATCAGAATGATAAATGTGAAAAGAATTATAACAGCAAAAAATATTTAAACCACTGTCATCTGATTTATGTTCAAGTGGATTTTCAGAATTCTCACTTACTGAACCAATAGTCCATAAAAATTAAAAAAAATTAAATATATATAGAATTCCATTTTGTACATAATATATATTTCAGTAGTTGAACCTTCATACTTATCTTTTCATTTAACAAATTTGATATTGATAAATAAATTGTTACAAAGGAGGATCCACTAACTGATAATAAAGTTTACAAGACCATCAAAAGGTCTTTATATGTTTCAATGACAGAAATTAATTAATTAATTTAAAGCTTTTGTTAATATCATTGGGTTGACGTAGTGGTTATTAACGTCCTCATCTGCTGTACTGTATGCTTAAATTTTAGTTGACTCCCAGCAAATGTTTTTCCTTTGAAAAATAATTTTACACAAACAATTTTATAATATGTACCCTTCTTATCTTTTAATTGCGTTATTATTGTTTTCAATCTAGTGAGGGATCAAAAGCTAAATTTTTTAATAATTAATATATTATTAAATACAGAAGTTTTCTTTTTATGATATTCAGTTTTTCTGTTCTTTTTTTTATGGCTTTTCGGTGGTTGTGGGCTAGGTGTCAACTTGCAATATGTGTGACCAATGTGCCCTGTCTTACCAATCCAGAAGGCATGATTGTTGGTGAATACAATGTGTAAAATTAGTTTTTTTGTGTTTAAACTTTCCCCATTAAACGAGAAATGTTGCTGTTACTTTTGAATTTATGTTGAGTCTAGTGTGATGAATATTTTTATATTTTAGTTATAAAAGTATTTTGAAAAGTTAAACTGTATTGTGCTGTAAGAAGAAATAGGTCATTGTACAAATGTACACCCTATTTGTGAGCAAAATTATGTAATAATGTTTAATTTGTTAATATTATTTTATCATTTTTAAAAGAATGTAGATGGAGAATTATTTGTTTAAAAAAGTGTAATAAGTTGAATTAATCTTACAATAAATATAATTTTGTTTCAGTTCCAGTTTGTCAACTCATTTTTATCATTGTTCTACATCGCATTCTACTTACAAGATCAAGAAAAGCTTAAAGAAGTAACATGTCTTTCTATTCTGTTTTAAATTACCAACAGACACTTGTATACACAATTAAGTTTATTGTGTAAAATTTAAATTTAATTTCAGCAATTAGCCGCACTTTTGATTGCCCGCCAAGTCATCGGAAATTTGAAAGAGTCAGCTCTGCCGTACTTCATGGAACAGCTTCGTTTAGCCAAGATGAGCTTTGAAATGTTCGGTGCCTTAAGTCCGTCGGACGCTGAAAAGAATACGGAAAATCCAACGGGTAATCGTAACGTGAGCCAAGCTGAATTAGAAAGTTCACTGTTTAAGGTAAATTATTTATGATCTTTTTTTTTTAAATTCAAGATTAATAATTCTTTGCATTTTTACAACTAACCCTTTTTGTTTTAAAAGGATTCATTTAAAATTAAAGCTTAAGTGGTTAGCTGAAGGCTTACTCTAAGCATGGCTGACGTTTATTACACCATTTTCCTCTTTATTTTAATAATAATACATGTCAAAGTGCTTTCCTTGGCTGTATAATTTGTCCTTTTTATTTATACGTCCTTTCAGAAAAATCAGGAGTCGGTTTGTTATATACATTTGTATTAAACAGAGTGGGAAAAATGGGAAAAACATTTTATAAAGTTGATTTTTTAAAACTCAACTTGATATTAAAAGTTAAGTAAAGACTAATGAAAATAACTATATTGTCATAATAATAACTATAATAACTCTTTGTGTTGTTCAATTTTCCATTATGATTGATAATTTCGTTAGGTTTTTAAGTTGGCGCAATAATAAAAATAAATCATAACTCATAAAACACTTTAATGATCTGCATTTCTTTTAAGATTTTCGCTTTAAATCCGGACTGTATATTATTGTTCTTGAAGATGGCAAAATGCTTGGCTTTTTTTTTTTAATGATGTTTGGATATTTATGATTTTCTTGCATGATTCTGATGTGAAAAATAATACTTTTAAGATGTCCGGCAGTGTACCAATAACAAAACAATACATTTTGACAGCCAAGATCAATAAATCATATCTATCATGCAGTCATAAAGGTGTTTAATGTGTGTTAAACATACTGTAAATTAATAGAAACGAAAAATAAATCAATAAAGCGGTGTTTGATAAACATCAATGGCCACTACATGCTAGTTCTTATATCTTTGATTTTTCTTGATTGCATGACTAAACATACACATACACACGTGCACAATGTGCTCAGGCATGCCTATTTTCAAGTTCTTTCCAAAAATTACTTAGGCAGAATGTAAAATTCTTTGGCTCAATGTAAACAAAGGTAAAAAATTTACAGCGGTAAAATTTATCACTAGATATTTAATAACAAGGACAAAGATGACCATGACATAGAGTAAATAATTAATTCTAATTTCCTTAAAAATTATTTTAGAATTTTATATCTATAGACATATTCTGACAAACGTAATTCAGAAAATTATATATATCTGAAAAATTGTGACTTGTACCTTTCTCTAGGTTGAGTAAGTGCCAGGTACAAACCTAAGTCACACTTGACATAGGGCAGATCGGAACTTGTCAATGATACAACTAGAGAAACTAATTAATTTATATTAAACCAAACTTTAGTCTAATTTAAAAGCAAATTAATCAAAAGAAACCTATTATATTTATGTTAAAGCTGTCCAAAACAACAATACAGTGTTTTGTGCTATTTATCATTTAATGTTTTTTTTTTTTTTATAACAAAAAACATAACAGATCAACTGTAATAAATGAATCCAAGATCATATAATTGTTTATTAATGTAATAAAGGAAACAATGTTTTTTTAAACAATACTATTCATACTGAAAACAAATTAATATTGATTTGGAAAATGTTGTCAACAGGAAAAGTCTGCTTTGTGGTGTTTCCTCTTATTTAAAAAGCTTCTGCTTTACTTTATTAATTTAAATGCCTGTTTTCAATTTTGTTTGCTAGTATGATGGGACATTTGCTGATCATTTGGAAATGTTCATTCAGCTGGGATATGTTGTTCTGTTCTCATCTGCGTTTCCTCTTGCTGCACTATGTGCTCTTATTAATAACTTAGTTGAAATGCGAAGTGATGCTTTTAAACTATGTTTTATCTTTCAAAGACCATTTGGAGAACGGGTCCCCAACATAGGAACTTGGCAGGTAAAAACAATTGATTCTTACAACAAACATTTGCAATGTTACAGGAAGTATTTTAAATGTGGTAATAAATGTGAATTGGTATTGTTTTAGAACGCAATGGAAGTAATGGGACTTATTGCAGTTCTTGTTAATTGTGCTCTGATTGGCTTGTCAGGACAGGTTCAAAGAATGTTTCCTGAAATGTCGACTACCCAAAATATATTACTAATCGTCGCTTTAGAGGTAAGAATCAAATTATTTGTATTTGAACACATAATTCTAATATTGAATAAACTGTTGATCAGTGTTAGCAGCATTAGATTTGAAAAAAATTGAACCATTACAATTTTATCATATAGCGTGAGCTGAAATCTCTGTTATAACTTATCATGCTTCATAGAATAATATTCATTCATTGATATGTAGCCTAACCCAATCCAATCTAACCTAACTTGTTCCTAATAGTATCTCTAACCCTATTAGGTTATCTAACCATATACTCTTCTACTTAACCTGACCTTGATCCTACCTAATGTCCTTACCACTCCTATCCTACCCAATCCTGCTTTACCTAACCTGTTAACCCTTACTTTTCTTAAACCAGCCCATGTGCATTGTTTATTTATAAGATATTTATATATAACAGAACGGTATTAAGAGACATATTTCCTATTCAAGTTGTTGAAAAATTGACTGCCTGTATTTGTTATCGAATTTACATTTTCATCCAAAAACCGTCCAGGAAGTAAGGTGAGGTATAACTGAAATACAAGCAAAGAGTTAATAATATTAAACAACACCCTTTACAAAACAAAATTTTAAAGTTTTACCAGTATTGAAAGAAATTTCATGCAGATCCAAACACTAATATAAATTTGGTTAGCCTAACTGGATCGATTTAGAACTGTTGTTAACAGTTTTTGAAGTTTTTATCACTTACTCATTTGTTGAATAGGTTATTTTGTCATTTCAATTAATACATGCAGTACTACACTGTTCTTTGAGTACTATAAGTCAGTCATTTTGTTTATAATTGAATTTCCAATGTTTGTTCATTATGTTCATTCACAACATCACATAAGAAAATTCATATCAGATCATTTACTTCTATTTTAATTTGCCACTTTTGTACTGTATTTGGGAAAAGCTCTACTTATATTTTCAGCATGTGATGCTTTTGTTACGGCTTATTGTGAAAGTGGCAATCCCCGATTTACCTGAATGGGTGGCTACTGAAATGGCCAAAGTTGAATTTGCTAGACGAGAAGCGATGAGAAAACTGAGCTCGACCGGCTCTCCTCCTCTTCAACCTACCAATCAAGAAAATTCACCTACTTCCGTAAAATCCATAGGAAGGTAATTAATTCCTTCTTAAAGATTGAACATTATTTTTATATTTACACCTAATAACTTACGTGTGATTGTAGATTTGTCGTATCAGCCACCGCTTCTACAGTTGAAGAAACATTACCAGAGCCTGAAGAAGTGCAGCCTGATGTTAAATCAATTGATAGAGAAATAAGCGAATCTGAAAGTAGTACACCACAAAAACCTAAACTTTTGCCATCAAACATATGGGAAGGTGATCCTCCTTCTTACCATATGACAGTCGGTCCCCATATCGATTGGGTAAATGAATCTTTTTTAAGTATTTAACATAAATTAACTCTTAATTTGAAAGCATAGTGAAACTTAAGCCGTTTGTTGATTATTTCATGCCTATATGATTATATTTGTCGAATATTTATGTATAATGTTGGTTTATTTTTTGCTTATTTTTCATTGGACTTTTTTGTTGTATTATTACTTTTCTTTAAGGTGTGTTACAGAATTGATTTCTTTGTGACATATGTACAGATGTTTCCTAAATACAGGTAGAAAGACTTGGGCTAGATGTCGGTGTAAGGAAGAGCAGTGAACCGGATATGGGAGGAATTCACCGGAGTACTGCTACAGTCACATCTCATAAAGATGTGTCATCCGATTCGGATCTTTTACGGTCAGTTCAGCCTTGGCCTCCTCAAGCATTCCAATTAAATACTCCAGCGGTTAGTTTCATTACTTTCTATTTTTATTATACATTTAGAGAATAATACTAGAAAATAGTAAATAGAACATCAATCTGAATACACAATTTTTCATTTTTATAAACTGTATTGCAATTGTCTATGTACATGTCATAGGTATGTATATATGTATGTCATTTAAATATGGAAATTATCATTGGAGGTAATGTATGAACAACATTCATAAATTCTCTTAATTAAGCCGATACAGTTAAAACAATTATAATTTTAAAAAATTCTTAACGCTCACCCTTTACACTTGCACATTTTCTCCGTGCGATGGAAAAACATTGAATCATAGATATGTAACCTAATCTATACCATCTCTAATCATACCTAATTTAACCCGTCCCCAACCCTACCTAACCAAACCTCCCTAATTTATGTAATTTTATTAATCCCAAATCCTATATAATTTTTTTTTACCTTAACCCTATGTAACTTAACTCGACCCTATCTAACTCATCCAGTAACTAACCTAACCCATCCCTAGTCAAGCCAAACTTAACCCATCTCTAATACTACCTAACCTAACCCACATTTAATCCTATCTAACCTAACCCTAATTTTATCTAACAACCTATCGCTAATCTTACCTAACGTAATTTGTCCCTAACCCTGTTACTTAGCTCATTGCTAACCTTACACGTCTCTAGTCCTAACTTAACACATCGCTAACTCTATCTAAGTTAACCCACCTCTAATCCTACTAATCCACTCATCCCTAACTCTAAATAACTTCACCTTAATTCAACCTGTCCCTAATCCTATCTAACTTAACTTGCCCCTAATCCCACCTAACTTCTTTCATCCATAACCCCACCTAACTCATGTCCCTAACGTAACCTGACCCTGATTCCATCTAACATTCATTAATAATCCTACCTAACTTAACTCGTCCCTACCTTACCAAACCCATACCTAACCTTACTTAACTCCCTAATCCTCTGGAACTTAACCCATCCTACCAAAACTACCCCATCACTACCTAACATCCCTATCCTTACCCTAAATAACCTAGCCTTACTCCTACCTTTACCCGGTAACATGAATTTGATGATGCTAAAATGGTCATGCATAAATTATTGTGTAGTGTATCCAGCTCAAAAACATGTCCCTATTAAAATATAAAATTATAATTACATGATGTTGAAAACTTGACTTAAACCCCCCCCCCCTTTGAGAGATTTTACCTAAGATCACATTCATGTCATTTGTAGAAGGTACCTGCTGAAGCTGCGGCCATAGAGGTAGCATCTGAAGAAGGTGATTTAGCTGCAAAGAAACTCAAAGTAAAGCAGAGTTTGATGAAAAGAGCCCGGAGCGTAGCTATTTTTTCACTCAAGCTTAAAGAAAAGCGAGCCGCCGCTGAGGCGAAGGAGAAAGAAAAATCAAAAGAAAAAGAAAAACCGTCCGTTGCTAAACCAGAACCTGTGGAACACGCTAGTGGTGAACTGTCTTACATACCAATAGAAAAACTAATATCTGTTGATGATGTGGCCACTACAAGGAGAAGAAAAATATCATCTTCTACCAATAACTAATGTAGTAGTTATTTTTGTAATTGTGCTTCTTATTATTTCCATTATATTATAAATAATAACAATTAATGTATTCTAATGTCGCCGTGTCATTGTGTTGAATGCCTCTTTTTCTTTGGTTTCATCAATTAATTTGATTTACCTTTGTTTTGATGACAATCACTTTTGAGATAAAAGTCAAAACATTGTGAATCGCAATTGAAAAATCATTTTTAAGGTGTTGTGTAAATTTTATTATTTATTTTGTTAATAATAATTAAGTACCCTTGTGCAACAGTATTGTCAACATTGATATTTGAGTAGTGTAAACTAAGGATGCTATTGTTAGTACCAACGTCTGACATTGTAAAATAGACATAAATTCACAGTATATAAAAAAGAAATTCCCTCTGATAGGTGGGATTGTGCTAATGAAGTAGAAGCATTGCACTTAGTGCTTCAAGCAGAATGCATTTTAAAACGTGAATGTCGACGTTAAAGCAAACGATAGGGTGCAACTGTAAAAGACTGAAAATCATACCTATAGATTCCCAAATAGTAGGCCATCCAACATTTCTTCCAAATTGACATTTTGAATTGTTAACTATTTTTATCAACCATTTTTGTCTTGATTTTTGTTTATACAGTCAACAATTTTACCGAATATCCATGAATGAACTGTTCCAAGTGGTTTTGTTGGAAAGAAATCAATGTTCTCGCCGCTCGTTCTTTATCGTGTTTTCTCTGATAAAGGTTACCAGTGAGCAAGAACTGCCAACAAATAAAGATATATTGTAAAACAGTCATTTTTTTGGATTTAACATCATAACATTAATCCAAGTATCTTTTGTAACTGCAACTAGAAAATTGTTATATAGTATGTAATTATTCTAAAATAAAATATATTATTACTATTACAATGTTTATAATTAATTTATTCAAACCATTTGGTAATTACATTCAGTGAAAAATATTGCATAAATTTCTCTTTAACGAGAAGTACAACTTAATAAACAAAAGTCAATAATAAGAAACCAAATTATTAAATAATAAAAGAACAATACATAAGATTACAACAAATAAATATAATTTTCATTTCAGTGTGGAAAATGCTTCATTAATCGGATTTTCATTTAAGACAGTTTATACTGATACACATGTACACTTGAGCATTTACTCAAAAAATCACACAACACATAACACACATAAGACAAATCTGATCAGAAATTTCTTTATTAATTTTTAATGTGAAAAAAGTTAACATGGTAAAAATATAACTTTGAACCTGATGTTTAATGTTAATATGATGTATGTTTAATGTTCAAAACAATTTCAAGTAACCGTCATGGTTATCCAACCAGTCTTAAACAGCCACAGAAAGTATTTAATTTCACTTTTAACTTTTCAAAATTACTTTTAAAACTTTTAAAAAGTTTCTTGTATTTTTAAGGTGTATTACTAAAAAAATTAAATTAAATTAAAAAATGAAAAGAAAAATCAGGTTTTCAAGTACACCTCATTTTCGTGTGAGAACAGGGGTATTTGGGAAATCAAGTAATTTTGAATTCTAAATTTTCCTTATAATGGAAAACACAAAAGAGAAGAAAAAATTGATATAACAAACATAGAAAATAAAAAAAAGGCTAAATATCACAAATATGTTTTTTTTCTGATTAATATTTGGTAAATTAAAATTATAAATATAATTTACATTTGTACATTACATAAATTAGATAAGCACATCTCATAAACAATGCCGTAACTTTTCAAATAAAACATTCTAATTTAAGCTTCACCTCGGCCACACTCGAAAGTCACAGGAAATGTCCGAAAACGGTTACAGTTCTGTATGCATGTGGCTGTGAGCATCGTGCTTAGGGTTGAAGTCATTCATGTGAATATAAATCCCTTCTGATGCTTTCCAATGGACGGAAGTCATTCGATTTGTACCCATAACTTCCATTTGTTTATTTATGATTGAACCGTATTTGCGCCCACTGACACTCAAGTATCTAGAAAAAGTTATCCTTTCTTTATTATCAAATTTGATGTTTTGTAAATTCTTTTGTATGGTAAGGGTGCAAACAATCAAAATACTTCAAACTGTTAAATCTCATTCACTAAATTTCTGCATGAATTATTCATGTTATTTCAATGGAACAGAGTATGGATGGAATATGTTTTAAAATACATACACGTCTGTATCTACATGTCGTAAAAGAACTTCTTTTTCTGGTTCCCAAAATTCACCATCACAAATTATATTCCAATGGTCGCCTGAGTCTCCTTCACCTTAAACATAAAAAAAATGTATTTATGATACATACAACCTGTTTAATTGATAATAATTTATCAACAAATTGGGCTTTTTGTCTATACCGAACATTAATTTATATATATATATATATATATAATCATCTACTCTTGAAAAAATCTATAATTGGCATGTTCATTTTTGACTCTCCTCTCCAATTGCCTCTCAGCACCGGCAAGATTGCTTATTATAGGTTCAAACAGATACAGACTTGTCTCTTTACAAGGACTTAGAAGCTTCATCCTTGTTTAATTTACAGAAGCCTAATTATGATGGTCTTCTTTGCATGAACTAAAATGGGCTTTTAAGCTGAGATGTGAGATTTTACATGTAAATTCAGCTGTGTGGAATAGGGGTAACTTTGGTATATGTTCTCTATGCAATTCTCATTCTATTGAGACTGTATTTCATCTGCCAGTGCTCGATTTTGGTGATTCGGCTCTTACACCTTGGTTGTTTTACTCTCCCAAGAAGTAAGCTATTGTGGTTCCTGAATGGCTCAAATTCTCGGTGCTCGATTCGGTATGCTAAACATGCTTAGAGCTACAAATACGAATTGAATCAAGAATTTAATATGTAGAGATTAGTGACCGTTAATCGATAGTTATTCAGATATCGTGAGATACGGTCGGGTGTGATGTAGGTTTCAGAAAAACAACAGCAAAATCTCACTGGCACTCTCAACACGACACGCAAGGATGGCACAATTACACAGAAGACAAACACTTTGAGTGAGTAGAAATACTTTGTTTGAATATAAAATATATTTTGCATTGTATAAATTCACTTTTCCACATCCTAAATGTAATTGTTAAATGTAAACATTGTTTGTAAATCCCAGGCCCTGAAGATGATCTCAATAAAAGATCGAAACGCTGACACGATAAAGAAAATGTTTTTTCTGAAACCTACATCACACCTGACCGCATCTCACGATATCTGAATAACAACCCAAGAATTTAATTTTTAAGTTTTATTCTTTCATTGTTATTAAACTATCAAAATCTTGGGTATAGTCCTCATTTTTAATATTTGTATGCTTGTTTATTTTTATATATACTTTGTATTTTACTTTATTTTTTATATTTCTTTTCTTCTCTCTTTAAACTGCATATATTTGTAAACCAATGACCTCTGGCAGACGGATTGGACGATCCATGTCCATAATCCTTTTGTTGTTCTTTAGTCCAGCACATGAACCCTATAGACTCTAACTTATGGGACATAAAAGAGAAGGGTTGACATTCGTTACCTCCAAGATGCGTTGAACATCTTCAAACCGCTCTTGTTGAAGAAAGGGATTCTTTTTCACCACACAAAATACGATCACTTATTCAATGCTCAGGAGGCTTAAGGCCCTCCCCATAAGGCAATATGTGTTATGAAGAGCAAAATCAAATAATAAATTTTTAGTTAAATTTTTATCTATCACTAGCTAATTCTCTGATGTTTTGGTGAATTTTCTTTCAAACCATCATTATAAGTATGTTGTAATTAATATAACAACAAAAATACATATAGTTTGAAATAAGTAACAAAATACAAGTGCACTTTTTTGTTTTGAATGGATATATAAAATAAATACAACAAAAACACATTCCCATACAAACAAAAATAAAAATATATTCCAAAAATTACTGTGAACATTAACAACATAAAACTACAACTGAGGGCACTTGGCAGATGAGAGGCAAAAAATCAGAAAGACAATGGGGTAGATGGTAGGGAGAAGTAGACACCTTACACATGCCCAATGTGACATAGATATTGTAGCTGAATGGTTTTCCAGAAAAGTCATTGTCTGAATTTCGCAAAAGTTTGAGAGAGGCCAGAATGTGAACAGAAGGGGGGAAAAGTGGTTTGTTGTTGTTGTTTGCTGTTAGGTAATTAAGTTGGAGTAATTGTTACTATAAGCCTAATTGTTTACAATGGATTTTGTACTTAATAATAATACTAATAACTACTAACTAATAATATTCTTAATATTTGACTGTAAATTTGATGAATCGCCAACCCATACACAAAAGAAACCTAAAGTGTGTAGAAACGAGATGAATAAATAGCCCCAAAAGATAACAAAAAGACTGTGAGTTACTTATTAAAGGAAAGTTATCATAGATTGCAAACAGGGCTCATCAAGCTAGGGTCACCATTAATTTGTGATCACGTCAACCGGATGGCTTTTTGTGACCCTACACCTGAAGACTATTGACATGAACTAAGGACGGGGTACATAATGGGCGCTCCCTGGAATTGCAAGGTGTTTCACGTGTATTCATGGGTTATGACTTCTCTTACAAGAAGGTCCTTCACCCTCGTTTTTTTTTTTTTGGGGGGGGGCAATATAAAGAGGAGGATTGGAAAATCAAATCAACCGTGTGATGAAAAGAAGGAGGCAGTCAAGGAAGTCCAGAAACCAGAGATGAGGACATGAAGCAAAAGGCTGAAGGATGTGGAGACTGGTGTTAGCGGGTGTCATCTTGGGTAAATGCATTTTGTGAATAAGCTCACACCTGTTTTAAGAATTGTTTTTTTCTGACAGAATTTTAAACGCACTCACCATTAACTCCATACGCTGAAACTTCTTGATTATCTGAAAGCGGTGATGAGAAATGATGCGAATGTAAATTTTTGTTTGTAGCCAAATGCTGCAGTCTTATAACATCACCACATTTCACTGGTTTCCTGTAACATATTGATTTTAATGAGTATAACTAATGTTGAAAGTTCAGGCGATAAAAAAGGACGGATTGCAAAATATATTTTTTTAAATTTAGTGTTGATAGGAAATGGTTCAGTAGTGGCTGTGGGAAATTCGGAGTGAGCAGTCATTAGAGAAACACCAGAGCTGAGGGATAAAAGTTCATTGAAAAATAATTTTTTTCTTATTTTAAGGATTAGTATTGTCTATTTGATGTTAAATGTGTATTATTTACTACAATGTAAAAACAATGGCAAATGTTAACAGACATTGACTACAGCCAGGAAATCAGAAGATGTCTTCTTGGGAGGAAAGAGATGGCAAAATCTTGATAAAATAGTTAAGAGTAGAGACATCACACTGACAAGAAAGGTCCATAACATTTTGACCACACAATGAGAAGACAGGATACCCTGGAGAAGAAGCTGATGCTAAGGAAGCTGGAAGGCAAAACGAAAAGGGAGCCGACCAAGGGCAAGATGGATGGATGATATTCTGGAGGCGACAGACACAACTATGGGGGGAACTGGGTATGGTGATGACTAACTGGAAATTCTGACATCGGCTGGCCCATGAAGAGTCAGAAGCAACTGAAGTAATAAACAACAAAAACAATAAATAAAACTGATTTTGCACTATAATTGTCTGTATAAATCACATAAAAGAACCCTAAATGACTAAAAACTGGTTATAATCTGGAGGGGTTTGATTGCACAAGATTCACTCTCATGTCTGCAAAGATCAAGCTTTTATGTTTGTCAAGTTTGAGGTTTTCATGAGTAGGATGAAGTTGGAAATGTTATAGTATTTTATATAGTATACAGTATTTTAACATCCATTATTAACTACAAATTTCATACTATTTTAAGAAACTGACATAGCTCTGCCTTATACACCATTAAACTGCACACTTCTTAAAATATGCATGTGCATCTTTTGAAATTAAGGCACTCAGTTTTTTGAATTATAGGCCTGGAAGAGAAGGGGAAATTAATGAAAGTTCAGGGTGTGATGTGAGGGAAAAGTGAGGATGTTTTTGTTTTATGTCCAAATGTTCAATAATAATCAAATTATAAAATTTAAGAATTTCTTCTCTTCTACTAAATGACAGAAGGGGATTGTGGTGGGTGAGTGGTGAGGATGTCCAACTGTAGCAATTCTGGGATTGAAGCCCTTGGAATTTAAATACTAAATGGGAGAATAATAGTATTACAAAATAGGTAAAATTTTGTGGTGTATATTCATTATTACCCCCATTTTCACTATAGGCCATGACAGGCCAATGCATTGGTCACCAAGATGAGCACCATGCCATGCTCCATCATGGGCGTCGCTCCACACACTGGGCCAGCCTCAATGGCCTACAGTTGTTTACTTTTCCTGTGCAGTGATGAAAATCAAGGTCAAGGAAATCGCTGTTGCAGCTTTGTGTTTGGCTAGGGTGTATAATTGCTATTTACATTTTATTGACAGAAACCTGGTCGGAAACAACAAACAATGACCGACCAATGTTGGTTCAGTTTGTGAACGCAACACCTATACTGCGCACTTTCTTTGTGCATGTTGGCCTCCTTTGATGAGTTTAGTGGGACCACTCCCAAAGCCCATGTTCCCCAGCACCATTTCCAACCGTGGCCAATATAGGCCACGACAAGCCATCCCCCTCTACACGTGTTGGGTCACTGTTTGGGCCATAGTGAAGAGAGGCCATTATGACAAACAGGTAAAACATAAATTAATAATTTTATTTTACAAATGTCTCACCCTCGTGGGCAATCTTTCTTAGTTTCTCCCTTTAACAGCCAATGAGAATTGATATCGTCTTGTTGCAGCGTCCCTGTCACAGACTGCTGACCACTTCCAGTACCATAGTTTACATCATGTGAGTGTAGTCTTACACTATGGTCTACATTTAAAAGTTTCAAAACACTGCCACAAGTTACGTACTGCAGTTGTTGACCTGAAAAATATATATGTTATAAATAAAACGTGTATAAAAATTTTCCTATGAAGAACAACACACACATGGAAATATTATTCCTTATTTACACTTATATAAAATATTTTGTTTGGATAAAAATCATTTCAAATTTAAACAAAATTGCCAGTGTTTATGTTAATTAATGTTCGACAATACAGATGTACCATTTAACAGTCTACAGACGGCTCATATTTAGATAAGATATCTAGTGAAACTGATATCAGTTCGGAGTAATCCAAAAAGGCCCACTTCCTCTACTTTGTAAATTTGTGACAAATGGGCTCAACATATTGAACCTTACAGTTTCATGACTATTTTTAGCAATAGTGTTAATCAATAGAATGAGTTTATGATAATCAGTGAATGACTAATTATAGAGTTTAATTAATACCAATAGTAGTAGTAAGGGGCATTGGTGGCAACGGTTTAAGTGGTTGACATGGCGCTCATCACTGTATGGTAAAGATCCCATGTTTGAATGCAGGGTCATTGGTTGTACTTTCAAACGTTTTTTTTTCTTCAAAACACTGGTACCCCAAGGGGGTAAATAACCTCTGCTGTTGCACATATATAAAAAAAGCATTTTTCTACATATAATAAATAATTAGTATTTAAGAAATAAAATGCATAATTTGAGTACTCCTGTAATTACTTAATATTTAAAAATATGCATTTTTATTTAATAGAATTTTTTTATATAAGAAAGATAATTTTTTAAATGAAAATTTAAAATTGTGTGTTGTTTCAAATAAATTTAAAAATTAAATTTTTTTCTTTCTTTAATTGCTGCGGTCCAAGAACCAATTACTGTAAGCAGTCTGAGATGTTATTCTGATACAAAAATAATATATGAGAACGCCGGTCTAATTGAAACTGTCCATAAAAAAAGGCAAGAGGAGAGACAACTAAATGACTGATTGATTTTAAGGTTTTTGAAGACAAATTTCAGCTGAAGTCCAAGATTGGAAAAACGCGTACCAGCTGAGTTAAGAATCCATGATCAGTGAGTTCAGCCATGCACAGTCATAATTCACAGAAAAAAAAAGTGGTGGTAATATCAGACCAACATAAGCCAGCATCCCATAAGGGAGGATTCTTGGTTCCATCCTGTATACCATTTATACTGTTGACTTTCCAAAATTAGTACTGTCGTTACAGCAGTATTAAATAAAAACTTAATGTTAATTTCTACTGTTTCAACAACGTACATGTCCCATTTAGCAAGATCAAACTTCTCACAAATCAAGTTTAATCAGCCAATTAAAGTTTATCAACAAAAGGTGGTTTTTCCCCTCAATTGAATTGATCAACCCTGTCAAACTTTATCATCCAACTGATGATTCATCCGCCATTTGCCTTCAAGTTGAAATTCTGTGGTTTTAAAAATATTTTTTATGATATAATTTATTTTTATTTATTTATTTATTTTATGTGCTTCAACTGTCCCATTAGATTGACTTTGTAACCACCAACTGGATAAATAAAATTAAAGATGCAAGAGGAAATGCTTTGAGTTCTATTGTCTCACTTTTGAAGAAAATTAAGACAATTAGAAAGATAAAAAAAGAGTAAACAAACTTTTGACAAAATGAAATAAAATCCAAAACAAAAAAGACAAAAATAATTCTAAGAAAATGATATTAAAAGAAATTAACAAGAGACGTTTGGAAGAATAAAAACCCTGAATCTAATAAAGGCACTTTTCGATGGTGCACAGGTGTTTATAAAATGTATGGGCAAGAGTCAAAGGCCCATTTGGACCAACCTTGCAGCCCCACACCATCAATTTTCCAACCTAAGATCCATAGAATAGAACTTTGTGCTCAAGAAATATTGAAAAGAGTAATGAAAAGGGCACAGATATATCCTCAAACAGATGAGCAGCACTGAAAGCTTTAGTTCCATTTCAATTTAAGCTGGTCTGGGAATGCCTATCACATTACAAGTTTTGCAAAAAAAGGCCCTTGCACTCTTTGGACCAGAACCACAAATCGGCCGAAAGCATGATAAAACATAATTAAAAAAATGGATGTAGAAATAAATGACCACACATTGGATGAATTCAGCAAGTGCAAAACAATCAACCAGGAAAACGAAGATCTATTGCTCAGTAGACAACTAAGAAAAATAATGTCTTTACACTGGTCATTGCCCCCCCCCCCAAAAAAAAAATCCTTACTGATTTTGCCATCAAACAGCAAGGAAACCAGAACATGTCCTACGTGACTGCAAAGCCCAGAAATTATAGCCTCAGAAAAGCGATATTAATGCCTCAGGAAATAAGTAAAGAGGAAACCTGTACCTTAAGTGTATGCAATTTTTGGGGTGTGGTGGGTTAGGTAATCGAGCTATGAGATATTTATCAATTGTGTTGTCTTTCGTATTAAGTAGACATTCATATCTGTTGACTGATTTTTGCCTTTTCTGATTAATATGCAGAGGAGTCTAGTATTTGAATAGGATTCTATCCTGCACTCATGGTCGCAAACACTTGTGGACTGGTACAAGGAAGGTAAAAGAACACTCAACAATGTTGGGACATTTTGTAGTAATAACAAAAGACTAAGATGAGTTTGGTAAATATTTTCTTTGGAAAGGCGACATTAACACCTAAGAAAATTAGCGAGGAGCAAGAGGAGTTCCTCCATCTTCCTTTTTGAGAGATTTGTGAATCACTTAGCTTGCCTCATACCTGGTGCCTCTTGTCCAACCCTTGAGGTGGTTAGAGATGGTTTTTCTTTCTTTTGGAAATGGAAGCAGATTTAACACTGATATGTGAGCCACGTCAAAGAATATTGAAGGCATCTAACAGGCTGACAAACTAGCAAAAACAGGAGCAGCACTACAAACGTTGAACCATAACTGCAAATTGACACAATGCATGCTAAAAGCTAATCTGCACAAATGAATGGAGAAATAAATTACTACTGACTGGTTAAATTCACCAACCGGCATGGGTCATTTATTGGGTCCATCTTCACTTGGGCATTTTAAGAAGGCCCAATAAGTGACCCTACGCAGATTTGGCATAAATTCACTGACTCGCAGGCCAACACCCAGCACCAACTCTAAATTCACCAAGTCCAAAACAATCAAAGAAATTCTTCAACATCTCAATGAGGAAAACAAAAATCTACTCTCTCTCTCAGTAGGCAAGAATTAAGGACAATAATAGGCTATGTATTTACATTTAGTACATTAAAATCCCATACCTTCACCAATCTGTTATTAATCATCCCAATTGGGATGTACAGAAATAATATTTTACAAGCTTATTGGCTCTTTCTCAAAATATCTGATTTCTAAATCTTGGACACATCCGATGTACATACCATACCACATACACCTGGTTGGTATATTCTTTTTTTCGCCCTATAACACATACCCAGATGTAACTGGGGGCAAGGAGCCAATCATGTATGTGACAGTGCTTTAATTTTTCTTTCTCAAGCCATTTTTTCCAACTTTTGGGGAAAAGATAGCAGATTTGACCTAAGGTAGGAGCCAGGACATAAGGTGGTTGTATGCAACAAGTTGACAAACTTGCGAAAACAGCAACAGTCGTCATACACTTTGGACCAGAACTACATAATGGATGAATTCATCAGGTGCAAAACAATAAGTTCCTCAACATCTCAACCAGGAAAACAAAAATCTCTCTTAGTAGGCAGGACTGTTAAATAGTTAAGGAAAGTTAAATAATAAGTGTTTATACTGGCTAATGCTTATTCAATTACCACCTCAAAAACTGGGAAAAACTAAGACGGAAACCTGCCAAATCTGTCATGAAAAAGCATAATCATCAACATTGTGGCTTAATGACTGCAAAACATTAGCCCAGAATCGATAAAGCCTCTTCAGAACAGTGATGTACTAACTATTGTACACAGTTCAATTTGAGGATACTCCAACTAATCCATCTACATCTTCTCGAGTCTGTTAACAAGCTCGCTGGTGAGTCCACCATAGAGCAAACAGCCAAAATTGAAATGGCAAAACACAAGGGAGGAGACAATGAGTGTGGTATATAGTCTTAACTAATCTGATCGTCTTTATAAAAATCATACATTCATAAGACGATGTCTGATTAAAATACAGAATTTTTTTGCTTTGTGTTGCCACATTTAGCCATGGGAAAGCCTAATAAAGGAGCAGAGCTCGCCTATCAAAGCAAGCAATTCCAGGGCAATCTGCCAGGCAATCACTGGATATTCCATTACTTTTCAAATTCAACCACTGAAACTAGACCTACTAATAACGTTTCTTGATGAACTATGACTCACCAGTGTGCTATAAGCACAGAGCTGGGGATACAAAGGATCTTAAAGGGCGCAGTGTATTATCAGTTCAGCAAGAGCAAAACTATCAGCTAGGAAAACAAAGAACCTTTCTCTCAGTAGGGAAGACTTATGGATTAGCGTTTGTACTGGTCAGTGTTTATCAATTACCACCTCAAAAAAAAAAATTAATAAAAAAAAAATTGCTGAATCTATTTTGAAGAAGCAGTATCATGTCCTAATGACTATGAAATATTATCTTTGAAGTGAATCAGCCTTTTCAGAAAAGTGATAGTAACGCTTAAAGAAATAAGTAAAGAGTTACTGCAGAAAGTGCTAGGAAAGAAGGGTCGTTTCTTCAATATTTCTTTTAGGACAGCAGGGTCCCTGAAGAAGAGGAAAAAAAGTGGACGGACCACCTGCCAATCCTTTCTAAAGAAACTAATACCTTTTGGTGACTCGTGAAAATTTTGGAGACTATATGTAATCAATTAAACAAATTAAAATCATGTATTATCAGAGTAGGACGGACAGAAAAATTGTCACTAATAAAAAAATTGAGTATGAGTCGTATTGCGGTAAACCATATTCTATAGTTAGTGTGTCAATCTTAAGACCAGGTAGTTGGATTTGAAATCAGCTTAACCGTTTTCAATTTTTGGTCTTCGACAAAAGAGATGTTTCTCGGTCTCCTGTAAAACAGCCAAATTCTCCATTAATGGAATATCGTCAGAAGAGCAGTTAGCATGATTGAGTTTGTAATGTTGACAGGGACATTCAGATATTGACTCCGGGTGGGAAACACTTCACAGAGCGGTTGAAGCCTTTTACAAGTAGGCACCAAGGCGCACAGATTTCAAACGGACATTCTCTCGAAAGCGTATCACTCCAGTCCTGTCTTCATCCAGCCAGATCAATTGTGTTTAGGACTGAGGCCGACTTTTCGACATATCAAGCGTAAAACTGCTAAAATACCAACGGAAATTCCCGAACCCGGTCTGCATGGTAAAAGCGAAGTACAACTAATATAAATACATCAAAAATGAATCGAAAGGGAAAATTTTTCCCGTTTATATCGGTAAACTTGTTTCTGACTTCGGCCCGCCTTGTTTTGGAAAACTGTCCAGGATTTGGAGGAAAGAAGAGAGCAATCAACGGTTCAATCACAGAACTGGAAAAATTTGTTCCATCACAGGAAACAGTTATATTCTTCAAATAACACATGAAACTTATTTTAAAGGTACTTTGAACAAGAAATCGGCAAAATTACTACGCAATAGACAAAAAAATTAAAACTCGTCTGTTTGAAAAGACACCGCACCGGCGTAATCTCACTAAAGAGAAGGAATAAAAAAGCAAATTTGTTTTGTTTATTTTACTAACCTTCCACTGAATAAACGAAAAATTGGAAAAGCAATAACAAAGACCGTGATTTCATCGTCTTAGTAGAACTGTTTGTTGTTTTAACAAAAAAAAAAAAAGAGCAAGATTTCGAAAATGTACGTAAACGCTCCAGGGATCTTCAGACTTCGACTGGACTCTGGAGTCAGAAAACTTCCAATCGCGTGGACCAATGAAAACCGAGAACGTCGACCCCAAGAGGCAGAACCTTCGCCCTGGCCGCCGGCCCAGCTGTAACAGCGACGTTACCTTCCACGGTCCACTTTCGTCAGCTGTCGTCTTAAGAAAAAAGAAACAGACCAACGTCCGCCGCTTTTCACCAGATTTCTTCCTCCGGGGCGGCGTATTTCTCTCAAATAAAGTCTTTTCCCTCGAAATACGAAAAAATGATGCGACCTGGATTTTCAGCAAGTGAGTATCCGACTTTTCCACATTTATTTATAATCAGACGAGTCGTTTCTCGAAGTACGCGTACACGCTGAGTTTACCTGTCAGTCCGACTGAAACTTGATCTGAAGAATGTTCTGGACGATCGACAAAACTGAGCTTGTGTCTTCGCAGCTCGGTTTTTAATGCAGTTTCTAAATTTTTCTCCTGTCATATGTGGTGTGTTGATATCGTGAAAAGTGGGTTCGACTCTGAAATAACGAAAAGTAGAGAATGGAAGAACGACCAAGGTTGGAAGGAGTAAATCCAGCACTGTCAATCCACCTGGAGGATTGCACCGCAAAGGTCAATTCGATGTATGCTTTCTTTTCAAAGCGACCGTTGATGACAATTACTCGAATGATCTGTTGTATGAACAACAGGAACCAAAGTTGGGCAGCTCAGGCCAAATAGGATTTTGCCATTATTGCGCAGTTTATGATTGTTCACACATGGAAAACAAAGCGACTGAGGATTGGCGATGTCAACCGGGTTGGAGAACTGAGCAATTTAAATTTTTCCAAATTCAATTGACAAAACTACGATTACTCGATTAAACTGTCAGATGAACAAAAGGAAATAAATTTGGGCAGCTCAGGCCAAGTAGTGTTTTGCCGATATTGTGCAATTTATTCAGTTGATCATTCAGAAATGGAAAACTAAACAACTATTGGCGATGTCAGCCCACCTGTTAAATTGCTTTTCAAAGAAGCTATTGAAACATTTCAAATTCAACTGACAAAACTGTATGATTACTCCACTGAATTGTCAGATAACAAAAGTAACTTGATTAATAGGCTCGGTTTCAGTGGTTGAAGCTCTTCTACGGTTATATTGTACGTCCCAAAGCATATGCGGGCATGTAGTAGAACCAGTTTGTTAGTAAGTAGGTGGTTGGTCTTTCCTCTGCTTCTTTGCAGAATTTGCACTTGCCGTGTTGAGTTATGCCAATCTTCTTTAGATGTCCAGTTAGTATGCAGTGCCCTGTTAAAAATCCTGTTAGGATTAGCAGTTTTTTCCTTCTTCCTTTAATTTATTCAGTTACCTCTTTCCTTCCAAAGTTTGTTAAGATGGTCTTGGATTATTTGTGTCCAATAAGTGAGTTCCATTATTCCCTCATTTTCTTTATAACCTTCTGTGCTCATTGATAGTGTGGATTCCTATTTTGAAGGGACAGTCTCATCGAAGAATCAGGAACTGCAGCTCCCCAAAGAGATTTCATGTGTCTAATATGTATCGTGATATTAAATGTACCTCTAGGTCACATGCTATACTTTCTCGGCTCCTTCTATCAAACGCTTCCTTCCCATTCTCCTCCCAATATTTATAATCTGTTAACATTTAAATCTTCTATACACTCTCACCATACTCCTTCCCGCTCTTCTGATCTCTACCACCCCATACAAATCCATCACTTTTAGTTACTCTTTCCTTATTCGTTCCTACAACCTCTGGAATCCCCTACTCACTCCATTCCCTGTGCCTCACCATTTTCCATTTTTAAGTCCCGTCTTTTTGACTACCTCCTATCCCTACAAATTACCACCAAGGATATTAATTTTCTGTTAATTTTTCCCCTTCTTATTTAATTTAGTACATTTAATTTATTTTTGTTTTTACATTTAAATTTTTATTTATACATGGATTGTGCCAAATTTTGTATGTTTTGTTATTCAAGAGGGCCCAAAGACCCAGAATAAAATTTATTTTCTTTCTTTTTACTGTAGTACAATTTTACTCTAATTTAATGAAATATGAAAACAAAAGTAAATTGTCACGTTTCTTATTTCCTTTTTATTTGGTTGTTTTTCCTTTTTTTATTTTATAGAAGTTTTGAGGATGATGAACTTTTATAACCTGTTTTTCTTTATCTTTATTGCATTTAAATTGCTTCCACGGGTATGCATTTTGGGGACTTTCTTTCGGCCCCCCTCTTCATGGCTTCAGGGCATTTCAAAAGCCCTGACTCCATGAAGTTATAGACTGAAATGACGCCAAAGCCCTGAAGCCATGAAGAGGGGGACAGGAAATATGACCCCGAAATGTACAGTTGTAAAATAAACTTAAATAAAATAAAGGAAAATAAAAACAGGTTTTAGAAGTTCATCATCTTCACCACTTCCATAAAATAAAATAATTTTATTAATCTGATTTACACAAGTGCAAATATAAATCAAAATTGTTTCTTAATGCAAACAAATAAAAAAAATTTCAAATGCTGTAAAATAAGAAAATGATAATTGCATTTTTTTCAGTTTGTCGGCCTTGGGCGCTGAAAGCATTACCTCCGATAAGGCAGAGTACAACCGCAGTGTCCTCTGATGTCTCACAGCCACCAGGTTTTGTAGCATTTCACTTATACATTAAAACATGAATAAAAACGTTTATTTATCATTTTGATTTTAAAATGCCCTTATCATCTAAAAATCCAGTGGAAAGCATCGCAGATGAGTTCAAAACTGATAATTCAATTTACAACAAGGCTTTCATACAACGATAGTTCAAGTGGTAGAGCAGCGGCGTATTTAGCCGAAGGTTGTGGGTTCGAATCCTGCTATGACGCTAGCTTTTTTATTTCAACCAATACCTTACATAAAGATTAATTAATTGAAAGAAGTTATTTGGTTAATCGGATCATGAAATATAATGGATTTCCTATTTTGTTAATTTAAGTGGTTGGTAAATCACTAGCATCACCATCATTTTTTTAAATTCTATCTTGCAATGATAGTCACCAACTACTATTTGTGTCCACGGTAAGCATATATTTTGTGCTAATCTCCCTTATTGAAATTTGTGTTTCTTAGTGACCGGTTGTTATATAATTTGTTGAAGTCATGAGGAGCGGTCTAGAATGAGGTAGTTTAGAAAAAACCTTTTTATTTTTTTTGGCCAATGTTTCAACCTTTATTCGGGACATCTTCAGGGCCTGGGTAAATTACTAAACATATGTTGATTGGAAAAAATACAATTAAAGATGTAAATATAAATTTTGTTTGAACCAATTATTTCATACTCATATCACAGGAGGAGCACTCACATTCAAATATATATTACTTTCATTTAGTTGTTTATTTAACACTTTGACTGATTCATCCGCCTGATAGTTGGTTTGCACAACAATTATTTCATTAGCTTTTGATTGGCAATGTCTAGTGAAGTGGTTTTCATTCTTACATTTATTACACTTGTTTATGCAGGGCACTGATTTTGTCCTTGTTGGAATCCACATCTTGAACAATTGTCATGTTTTTTTTCCTCCATTTGCATACTGTTTTCTGTGAAATTCTTCTATTTCATAATTTAGTTCTGGGTGTGTCATGTTCAATACATTTGCTCTTTGCCATTTAATGGCTACTTAGTTCCATATCTTCTGATGAATTTACGGATCTTAAAAGGTTTAATGTCGTTAAAAATATTTTCATTAGAATTTTTGGCCATGGTCAAAATAATATATTTCTACAACATGTTGTTTAAATTGAAAGTTGCATTATTGTTGTCTTAAGGGGGATGGACTGGTCAGGTTTGAGCTCTCCATTCCGTGGATAATGGTAAAAGAAATTTGATTTAATATTAAATTTAATAATAAGACTAATTAAAAAAAAGGAAATCTACTTTTAAAGAAATAACGCTAATAAAAAAATTAATTTAACGAAATAGAAAAGAAAAAAATATTAAAAAAGGAATTTTACAATGTTGTTAAATCTGGGGTGAGTAAAAATGATGTTCAGTCCACAGATGGTAAATAAGACAGTATAATTTGGTTAAAATGTGTTGTCCTAAATGGTTACAACACAAAGCTTTAGCATATGGCTGGTTATATTAGCTTAACAAAAATGTGTACTTTACAGATAAGAATCAAGTCAGGCCATATTCTCCGCATCAAAATACATCCAATTTGGCAGAATTTGCAATGGCCAGATTGGACGATTTGATAAATTGGGGTAGAAAGGTAGTTTTAAAAACTTCCTCAATAGCAAAATGTGTTTTTTATTTTAATTCGATACATTTTTTTGCAGGGTTCCATTTGGCCGTTGACTTTCGGATTGGCATGTTGTGCTGTTGAAATGATGCACATAGCTGCACCAAGGTATGACATGGATCGATACGGGGTAGTTTTCCGAGCTTCTCCAAGACAGGCTGATGTCATTATTGTAGCTGGCACTTTGACAAACAAAATGGCACCAGCTCTCAGAAAAGTTTATGACCAAGTATGTACCCAATTAAAATAACATGTTTTTTGGCATGCTTAAATTCATTTGTTTATAGATGCCAGAACCGAGGTGGGTTATTTCCATGGGCAGTTGTGCAAATGGAGGAGGTTATTATCATTATTCATACTCTGTAGTGAGAGGCTGTGATAGAATTATACCAGTGGACATCTATGTTCCAGGTAATTAATTGCTATTTCATTAATTTAAATTGAATGTTGTTTACTATTGACTTCACTTTTCTATCGAATCCTCTATGCAAGACAATTTATCCTGAGTGGGGCATAACTATTTTATTTGATGGAATCCACTTCTAGTCCAATCAAGTTAACTCTTAATTGTGAGGTGGAAGTTTTTAAATTTATTTTTTAATTGTTTATTGTTTTTATTTGTTCATTTTCAAGTAAAAGTAAAGTTTGATAATTTAGGCTAAATGATATTTTGGAGTTCACAAATATTATACCCTAATAACCTTTTTATCAGTTAGGGTGTCCGACTTGTTTTTGCCATGCTCTAGTGGTGGTAGGTTTGAATTCTGGTATAGCCAATGATTTTTTAATGTAAAATAGTATGAAAAAATGTATTGTAAAGTGGTTGAACCCTTCATCCACAACACCCAACAGGTAGGTAGTTAGACATTAAGCCAGTCCTTCTTTAATACAGGAATTACATTATTTTTGTAAGAAAGGGATTCTGTATTTTGTTGCCTTATTCAGAACAACACATTCAACCAATTGTATTGTATAGAATGTGTCATGTATTGTGCTGGTGGTCGCTCGAACAATATGAAATGCAAAAAATTAAAAACAATAATGTGTAAACAAAATTACCTCACCGAGTCTGTAACTAAATAGAACTGAGAGCAGGTCCAGGGAGTGATTGACGCCTAAATTTCCCATATAACAGTGGCCAGTATTAAATAGAAAATCCACATTATTAACTACTTTTGGGCTCAATCCAAACCAACAGATATAGTAGAGAAAATGGAGTTGCCACACCATTCATAGTTTTTCAACCCATTGAGAAGATGGTGAAATAAAATAAAAACTACGAAGCTATTTAGTAGCCATCTCATTAATTTTAATTCTTTAACATCCTTAGAACTAGTTTTTTTTTTTTTAAATCTCATTACTCGTCACTTTTATTGTACTATAATTTCTCTTGATTATTTGTGTCAGATCATCCTGGTCAGTTCAGCTTTGCTTACTAGGAGTCAATCTCGTTATGACAGTCCACTGTGACCAATATTGGATTGTTGTGCAGTCTCCATCATTGGCTAAAGCTAGTCAGATCACAAGATCCTTCAGGCTTAACTTTTCTTCTCCCAGGAGTAGGAATCTCAGCCTGCAAAGGTTTCTTCTTCCTGAATCCTGTCTGCTACTCTGACCCTATAGTAATCTGCAGAGTCCGGTCAGCAGTCCTGTCATTCTAGTCCTAACACGCCCTAAGTTTAGTTTATAGGTCTTTTTATGAACTTTTTTGCATGGCTGTGTCCTAGTATACAATCCCATTGAATCGAATGTTGATGATGAATGATCATCGATGATTAACTTGCAACAACGCTGTATGTAATTATTTTGATATGAGATTTATGAAAAATATGTTGGATTGTTGTAGGTTGTCCGCCGACTGCCGAAGCCTTGTTGTACGGTGTACTCCAACTGCAGAAAAAAGTGAAAAGAATGAACACTTTTCAGATGTGGTATAGAAAGTAAAGTTGCTTCTTAGTCATTTTAAAGATAACTTACAAACGATTGTACATAATTCATAATTTAAACAAGGATAAATAAACTGATGTACATTAATTCAACCGTGTATAACTGTTTTAAATTACCTTTCAGTAGGTGTATATTATAGAAACATTATGAGATGCAATAAATAACTGTTCAAAGTGTAATGTAAAATGTTATAATGTTCTCTCATATAACAAAAAATATTTTACATCTTAAGAAATAATGTGTATAACACAATGAGAAAAGCTTATGTATGTGAATGTTAAATAAACTTTATAAAGAGGTTCATTTATTTTTTAGTTTTAGTGTAATATCGAAGGAATACTTCAATTTGTGTTATTTTGAAAGTTCAGTTACTATTTTTCCTTATTAATCAGGAAAAAATGTGTTGAAGGCAAGTGAAAAAAGTAGAAAATAACAAATGTTTATATTTTAAGTTAAAAGTATGATGTACCCATGCCTATAAGTTCTTTGTGCTAATTGGCAGCTGCATTTGTCAATTCATTGCCCTTAATACCTTGTAGCTAGGAATTCAGTAAAAAGTAATTGAAAGTGAACATCTGAAGGAAATTACATCTTAACCCAGCAAAATAGAGTTAAACCAGAAATTTCCACACAATTAAAAAAAAATAGTTCATGACTTTAATGAATTAATATTAATCACATATTTGATTATTTACACTCAATTTGAAATTTAAGTAAGCTTTTTGATAATTTTTGTGTATATATTGAATCAATTGAACAGGAGAGCATAGCATATAAAATAGAAAATTATCAGAAAAATATAGTATTTTGAACAGTTAAGAGAACAAATGGCCAGTTGAGATGTCATAATGAACAGTGAAAACAACAAATGGCCCAGGATAGAGCCCTAAGGGACACATATTGATAGACAAACCTACACATCATACAGCCTGTATTTGATTATCTAAATACAACAAAACAATTTTACACACTGACCTAAAAGCATTTTTGAAATAAAATGAAACAATAATAGCACAGTTATTTTGATTAATTTTTCTATAAATAACCTCAGTTATTTTTAGTAGAACGTTAAGAATGAAAAACAGATTGAAGGGAGTATAGCGTTTTGTTTTTTCAATGGGAGATTCCTTTGACTGTTCATAATCTTGGACAAAAAAGTTGGTGAATTTAGTTCGCAAAACAATGAATTTAATTTGCAAAAAGGTGAATTCAATTTGCAAAAGGGTGAATTTGATTAGCAAGAGAAGAAGAAGAGTGAATTTAATTTCCAAAAGATTGAATTTCACTAGCAAAATTGCGAATTTGATTTGCAAAAAAGTTAATTTAATTTTGAAAAACTTTGAATTTGAGTGACAAAAGAGTGAATTTCATTTACAGAAGTGCGAATTTAATTTGCAAAAGTGTGAATTTGATTTACAAAAGAGTTAATTTGATTTTGAAAAACAGTTAATTTGATTGGAAAAAGTGTGAATTTTATGTGAAAAAATGAGAATTTAGTTTGCAAAAGTGTGAATTTGCAAAAAAGTTGAATTTGATTTGCAAAAGGGTTAATTTAATTTATAAAAGGATTGAATTTGATTCGCAAAAGTGTGAATTTTGATTTTGTAATATGTGAATTTGGAAAAGGAATTTAATTTTAAAAAGGGTGAATTTCGCTTGCAAAATGGTGAATTTAATTTGAAAAACTGTACACATTCTTAACGGTCAAAATAGGAAGGTTTATTTAAGTGACTACCAATTGCAACAGTTTTTTAGTTGCAGTATTTATTATAAGTTTATTGATTAATATTCTATTATTTACTATAATTTTTATTTTATTTTTCTTGTAAGGTTTATAACAAAGGCAGACGGTTGAAAAACCATGTCATAGGAGTTTTTTTTGTTCATTGAATTTTGACAAGCATATTATCATTTTTCTTATGCATCTATCTATAAGCATATAAAACTTTTTTCTATGTATCTACCTATCTACATAATAATAATAATATAATGTAATTTTAATACAAAAGGAGGAATTTTATTACGGCCAGGATTTTTTGTTTCTTTAAACTTGGGTTAAAAAATACTTAAGAGAAATTTGGCTATGATTGAAGGACCAGGGACAATTTAAGGGGGGGAGTTCAACAGCTAGAAATTCAAATTAACGTATCGTTACTGAATGTTTTTATGTGGAATAATAGCTTTCGGACGTAAAACAGGCTTGTTTATATTTTGATTTTTTTGCATTGAAAGAAGTTTTCTTTTTTTAAGAATTCGAGGCGTTTTGAAATAATTTTGTAGTATATTTTTGTCAGTGCTCATCAACTTGAAGACAGGTGAATGGTGGGAAAATCGTACCTGTACCGGTTGACAGTATCGATATCATCTCGGATCGAACATTGCCAGGTATTTCTCAATATTCAAGAGAAATTAGGCCACGATTTAAGTACCAGGGACAATTTAAGGGGGGAAAGTACAACAGCTCGAAATTCAAATTAACGAATGTTTTAATGTGGAACGATAGCTTTCGGACATAAAACAGGCTAGTTTATTAACCTTAACTTTTTCGCATTAAAGAAGTTTTCTTTTCTTCTTTTTTAAGAATGCGAGAGTTTTGAAATAATTTTTGTCAATGCTCATCTGGAGTACTTGACTGGTGAGTGGTGGCAAAATCGTACCTGTACCGGTTGACAGTATCGATATCATCTCGGATCGAACATTGCCAGGTATTTCTCAATATTCAAGAGAAATTAGGTCACGATTTAAGTACCAGGGACAATTTAAGGGGGGAAAGTCCAACAGCTCGAAATTCAAACTAACGTATCGTTCCTGAATGTTTTTATGTGGAATAATAGCTTTCGGGCATAAAACAGGCTGGCTTTTTATCTTGAATTTTGAGCATTCAATGAAGTTTTTTTTTCAGAATGCGAGGAGTTTTAAAATTTTTTTATCAATGCTCATCTGGAGTGCTTGACGTCTGGTGAGTGGAGGCAAAATCGTACCGGTTGGCAGTATCGATATCATCTCGGATCGAACATTGCCAGGTATTTCTTCTCCCCTTCAGTGACAGTTGATTGTGTACGAATTGTTCTTGGATTGAAAAAATATGCTTTTATGTATCGATATCCGTATGGCCTCGCAAATCAAATCACGATTCACGTCTGACTGAAAATAACAGAAGGCCCTAAACAAAGTCGACCCAGACGAGCCGTCGAGGTTGAAAATTTTCAAATAATCCGTCTTTGTTTCGTTTCGAAGAGCCAGGCCGAATAAAAAGGTGAGGCGATTTTGTAAATATTTACCATCGTGTCCGGTTGAAATCCTTTACAGCTGCCTCTTAACCTTGTTTCACGCTTGTTTTTTAGAGGGAAGCTTTAAAAAAGTACACATTTTTATTAACCCTTTCGTTTCAATCCTTTATTTATATTTCAATCTTCTTCGTTGTTTTCTTATTAGATGGAGACCGAGACGGATAAATGCCAAGAGGATACGGCGGAACAGGCGAAAGAGGATGTTCCCAAACAAGAGGTATATTTATTTTATTTTTTCAATTTTGTCACTTTGATTGCTTTGAAGCTTTTATCAGACCCGCTTTTGAGACCTTTTTGCGTCGAAAGTCCGGTCACCTTTTTTCGGCCCAGCGGGATCAGAGACTTATTTTCAAAGTTTAAAACACGAAAGTCAGCTTCTTAGCTCGTGTGACACAATGTAAAATAAATTAAACAAATCTTTTAAAAAACATTTCTATCGATCGACTATATTAAAATAGTTTAATTTAAATTCCGATCTATATTTCAAAAGTGCTTTGTTCGTCGATTTGCTTTAATATGAAATTATAATTGATTTTTTGTTTCATTTTAAAATAAAACTGACGATTTGTTACACAGACAGTATTAGATTAGGATTGCACACTTGAGATTTCTCTGATAAAAGACTGTCAATTGGTTGTACCGACATTCGTTTTCTTCTGTCTCTCTTTGGGATTTTTTGACTTAACGGGCTGTTAATTGGCCTGTTTTTTCATTCTCCTGTATGTGTTGGGTTGAAAAAAAATTCGTACACTTGCTCTTTGGGCCTTTTAAAACTTTTGAATAAAATCACTCAAGTGCTGATGGCGCAATGTCGAAATGTGTGTGAGTGGTTCAACAAACCCGATGGACTGAATGCCGGTTTAGCATAAGTGCTGATTTTCCTGATTTGTGCAGTGTGAGTTTAACTTTTGTTCCCCCTATATATTTTTTTATGTTAATGGAGTTTTTTCCTTTCTTTTTTATGGAAAACCCCAGTGACCTAAACTTTTATTTTTTGTCTACTTTGTCTTGGACAAAATGTTTTGATCTACAAATGGGTGAAAAATCAAAAAAGCCTAGGTTCACGCCTGTTTTTTTCTTCAATCTCAAAACTATAAAGGATGTTTATACGACTTCGCAGGCATATGTAAAGATTTGGAGTGAAAAAAGACTGGGCAGATATTGCCCACAAAGAGAAGAAACAGCGGAACACGTCCTCTGTTGGTGCGAAGGCCTATATAGGCTGAGATTCCAAATCCTGAGAGAAGAAAAGCCACAGCCTGTAAGATACACCATAGGAGTCCTTGAAAAAACTTTGGGGTCTGGTGAAAAGCCTTAAGCGTAACGAGGAGCTCAACTCTCTGTGACATAATCCAAAAAGTCCTTTTAAAACAACAGTTTCTACTCACAGTAAGTTGTTTTCCAACGATCCGGATTTCGAGCTTTTCGCTCATCATGAATGATGGAGTTCTACCTTCATCATTTCTATTAACCCAAGAAGGGCTAAAAATAACAGAAGAACTGCTGCTATACAATGTTTGCAAAATACATCCGCAACTATCAAAAATTAAATCATAGGTGACATTAAAAAGATCATCTATACTTTATCTATTATAAAAAAGAGGGTGTATTTGGGGGTAATGAGAAAGCTGACACACTGGGTAAATATGATGCTACACAGTTTTGCAACACTGGAAACATACAGATTCTCTATATAGATCTTTTTAAACTTTTAGAAACGAAACACCAAAAAGAATGGCAAACAGTATATACATCTTCAGACAAGGGAATGGTTATAAGACACTTCTTCCTCTCATGACAATAAAATCATGGTTTGGACATGGAGAAAAAAACACCATACGACATTAAGAAGTAACCACAGCATTTTTGCTGCGTACTTTCATATGATTGGTAGGAAACACCACCCCAATTGTGAGACGTGCTGAGTAAAGGAGGACCTTAAACACACAATGTTCACTGTCACAAATATACCTTAGTCAGAAAATAATTCTACGTGGGTTCGCAGAAGGGAGGGATAGACATCCAACCGGTGGAATGGAGAGCTCTTGCTGTCTCTCAGAAATCCCAGTGTGTGTAAAATTATTAACGACTTTTTGTGTGATGTTTCAGTGAAGATATAGTTTGTGATGTTAAAAAGTAAATTGGTCAGTACTATTATGGCTGTATACATTTTTGATACCAAAGTAAAAAAAAAGAAAGATGGTCTCAATAATGCCAATTTCTGGTGCATTGCTTCAATTTGAGAGCAGTACATTTCGGTATTGATAGTTTCGCCAAGGATTCAATAAACTGTAATAAATCAGCCCAAATGAAGCCCACCAAAGAATCACTATCATGTTTTTTATGAGTTACGGGCTTTGGAAAATATGGTGCTACAGAATGTCTGCTGTTATCGTAGAGAATCCATTTTTCATCACAAATAACAATTCTATCCAGAAAAGGTTTGCTAATATTTCATCAAAGAAATGTTGCACTTACTTTGTAACGATGATTTTTTTGGTGGCCATTTAATGCATAAGGAACCCAACTTTTGAGCTTTTTCGCCTTTCCAATTGCCTTAAGGTGGACAGTCATAGTCGATTTGCTAACCGAAAGATTCTCAACAAGTTCCAGAACAGTCGTTCTTGGATTTTCTTCAACCAAACCTCGCAGAACAACATCATCTAGGGTAGAAATCTTTCCATGACCTTCTTTGTCTTCAAGGTTAAAGTCTCCCTCTCAAAATTTTTTTAAACCATCTCTGAAGAATGCTCTCACTCTCACTGCCATCATCCCAGACTTTATTAAGACTAGATTTTTCTGGCCATTTGGGCACTGTTCTGACCAGTTTAAACACGTAAAATGAAATTACATGAAAATCACGCATTTACATCTTAGTAAACACTGAATTATTACCAAGTAACAAAATGCTACTACTGAGGTCAACAAACATTTTCATTTGGAAAAGGATTAAAAACAGTAAACAGTTTATTATATAGACGGGTAATTGGAAGGAAACATGAAAACCAGTATTATTTTCTGGACAACCCAATGTAATCCTTTCAATTTGAAATATACACAAAGATGAACATGGTTATTCTAAATTATTTTCTGACCAATTCAGTGGTAATAATTAGACTAAAGTAAGAGAGCATTGTGGGTCGTTACATTCGTGTTGTTAAATTGGATTGAGTTATTGAGAAATTGCAAATCCACATGATGTGAGTTTCAGGCCGGTTAGAAACATCATAAAGAAATACAGTGAGGTGGGTTCAGAACTAAACAAACGGCATTCTGTGAGGCCACAAAAAAGAAAAAGTAGCACTCACAAAATAATAGCAAAAACACCCCCTATTTCTGCCTCTAGCAAAGCTTCAAAGGTTGTGTCAACTTCTAATACAACTTGCAGTGGGCAGTCAGTAAAGAATGTAAGCTGTATAGCTCATATAATATTTTTGCTGTGATGGTTGCAAATACATATGTATACAGAAAGAGCAAATACTTTATTTGAAACAAAATTGGGGTCTTTTCTGTTATACGACCACACAGCTTACATTACTAAAGCTCTTTTTATAACTAGGTTTTTTTGATGTGTTATAAGATGTGTATAAAATTCAACATTCCTGGATTGTAGCACTAGAAGTGAATTTTAGCAATACTTACCATGAAGTCATTGTTGCCGAGCACCACATACTTGTGTTTGACATTCAGTGCAGATTTCAAGTTCTGTTGATAATCAAGTCCCCATTTTGGCTTGTGTGTGAAATATACTAAGGCAAAGATTGGTGATTTTATTCACTAGCTTGACCAATTAATATCTTACAATTAATTAAGGTTTTTAGTTGAGATAAAAGCGGCGTATCAAGCCGAAGATCGTGGGTTCGAACCCCGCTCGTGCCATTGACTTTTTTTATCTCAACTAAAAACCTTAATTAATTGGCGATTTTCTTGCGTCATAAAGGTTTTCTATATATGTGTTATTGAGTTAATGTACCCGAAATGACTTAGTGCATGTGAATCAAAGTAGCCATAGAAGTGAGAAAAGGTACATGATTAGAAGAAGGGAGCAAATTATCGTTTGATATTATTTTTTTGCATATTCATGGACAAAATAACTAAAAATTACTATGCTGATCAACTTAACATGAATCAAGCTCCATTATAGACCTGAAAAACTTATTACTAGTAATATGTATATATTTTCTTCTTCAAAACTTCAGTTTTTTTCCCCTTTCCAACAAGGGTATATCAACTTTGAGGTTATATGAACCCTCAGAATGCTGGTGTGGGGACGTCCCATCCTTAGCAGCATCATCCAGATATCTGTGAACTACTATGAATAATAAAACAGTTCTGTTTCCTCCAAAAATCGCAACAGGTGTCCCAAATACATACTGTTATGTCTTAGCACAATTCACGTATTTGGTGGTATTCCTACTCCCTTTCTCTAAATCAAAATTTTAATGGTTGAAGGCGTTATCAGCAATTTGGGAAACCATTTTTATTATTTAGTAGTATTAGTCGAAGCATAAGGCTTTTATACTGTTGATAAGAGAAGTAGGCCATTTATAACAAATGAAACATAGTTTTTTATTTTAAAAAAGCTTATATTTATTCAAATATAAATTTACATGTTAATTATTAATTATGACACACTAATGCAATTTTAAGACATAAACATTACACAATGGTAGAAAACTGTTGACTATTGAGTTATTAATACAATTAAAATGTTTATGATCTTTATTTAATTTTGGGTTACAAAATTGATGGATTGTGCAATGTAATATATAAGGATCAAATGTAATGAGTATGAGGAAAATCCGATTGTGTTTTTTTCACCTCCATCCTTCCCTCTCGTATCTACATTGTTTCTTGTAAGTAATGTTTTCTTTCAGTTGACGTCTTCTGAAATTGAAAAAAATGAAGAGGCTAAATTGAAGGCGAAATTTCCTCAGGCTGTGGGTGGAGGCCTTGGCGGGCATTCTGCATTTTTACAAAAGAAATTAGCTAAAGGGGTATGGAAAATGGCATTGTTTTTTTGTCAATTTTTTCTCTTTAAACGAGGATTAATAATTTCTATGTTTTATTTTTCAAGCAAAAATATTTTGATTCCGGGGACTACCAGATGGCTCGACAAAATATTCCCACATCAAAGAAACAAGCGCTTCAGTCCAATATATTTAGTTTTGGCACCGGTGAAACTATTCCTACACCCGAAAGTGTACCAGTTCGTAAAACTTCAATAATTCAGCCTAAATTTCATCCGTCAATTTCACCACCTAACTCGACTCCATGATAGTTTTGTGATGCAGATTGGAGGTATACGTTGCTAAGAAATCATTCAAAATTATCATTTGGGTCATGACAGTTTCCAATTAAGGATGTTTTAAAAAAGTAATTCAACAGTTATGCGTTTTCTTTCATGTTGTGAGTTTGTTTTCTGTGGGAGTGGTCCACAATTACTCTAGAAATATGTATGAGTAATTTATTGTTGTAAATGCAAATTTAAGAATGTTGTCCTTTATGTAATAAAACTTTAAAAATCACACTTTTATGTATTTTATTTCACATTCTTTACCTCTAATTAAATACTCACAATTACCATCACATGATATGTCAAATATGTTGTCTATCGACATATTTGATGACAAAACCTGGGAAAAAATTATTTGCTTGTATTGTAATTCAATTGTATCCCTGTTGTGTTTTTTTTAAATTATTATTTATACTCTGAAAATGGTTTATTATTTATCGGATTTTTAAATGATGTTTTGCTAGTTTAAAATTGAGGAGAAATAGGGCATTTTTGTCATTCACGTTTTTGTTATAACTACAGTAAGGGAAAAACAGGGCCATGGTAGCCGAGTGGTTAAGGCGTCAGACTAGTAGACTAGGCCACAATTGAAAGAAATTAACACATGTACTTATCAGTGGAAGGTCTGGGGCGGGATCGGATCTCAACGACCCTGAATTTGGTCCCAACTTCCCTTACTGGCATTGGTTAATCACAAGGGATTTGTTTTCCACTATGATAATGCTTGCGCTCGGGTCTGCACACATGCTGGAAATTTTTGGTGCCCACCTGGGATGAACTACCCCATTGTCCTACCCATGCCTGACATTTCCCATTCAGATTTTCATTTAATCCAGGTTCTGCAAAACTGTATCAATGGGAAAGAATTGACTTCGCTTAAGGACTGCAGATGATCGAGGAATTCATCAGTAAAAACTTGAGAAGTTCCGGGAGGTCGGATGTACAAAATTATATGGATGATGATGGCAAGGGGTAGTGAAACAAACCAACAAACATGGTTCATATAATTGACGAATGGATTGTGTTGTAATTATCATCATTGATCACTAAAACATAAGGCAGACTACCTTAATAAAAAGTTGTCATTGAATGTGTTGTAAAAATTTGTTGTTAAATTAAGGAAAGTAGATGGAAATGATGGAAACCATTATATTTATCTTTAGCTTGAAAATCTGAGGTCATTCTAATTTCCCTGTTCTGGGTGGTTTTGTTAGACGTTTTTCACTGAGTACAGACCATCCACAGAAGATAGTGTGCTGAAATTTGTTTTACGGACAAAACCAGTAAGGATGGACAATTGGTCAGGGATGAACAGGTATAGGTTAACTTCTGTCTATTGCGGTAATTCTCTTTTATGGCAAAACTATCCCAAAACACTTTGTCATTTTAATCTGATATATCGTTACCAACTATTCTGGACTGCCTGTCCTCACTGGGTTGGTTTGCCAGACTGATAATTCACATTATTGAGTGTGACTATGGTGAAATGCATCTCACAGATCAACCCAGCGAGGATAGGCAGACTAAAATGATCAGCAATGACCAAATTTCAATTTTGTCACCCCTTAAACGTAATCTCATACTGTAATTTTAATGCTGGCCTTTCATTTACAGTTTCATGCTCCTAGATCTTCTACTTTTATCTTTACAATTGTAAAATATACTGTTTAATACAGGAATTATATGTTCCATTGGAGGTGCCCTCTAATAGCAAATATCTGTTCACAGAGGCAATATAAGAAAACTTCTGAACTAAAATATTTTTCCTTTACTTCTAATCTGTAAATATGTTAATTGCGTATCATGAAAATTAGAATTTTTTTTTAAATTTTTAATACATACTTTACCAACTTTTATAATCTAATGTAATAACTTTTATAATGTAACTTGGTTACTCCAGCCAATTTTTTATTTTGACTTAATGTTATCAGAAAAAAACCCACATTTTTTCAACTTTGATCTATTAAAATTAAATTAGCACACTAATATCAGAACATGTAGTCACTTCATACAAATGCAAAAAAATTTTTTCTCGAACATTTCCATCACATTTCTTTTTGCTCTGAAAATTACAACCGTTTATTCTTGCGGGTTGTAAAAGATACAGGATTCTTGCAAAAATAGCACATTGGAATTCTTTATGCCCTTTCTTTTTGTGTAAAAAGAGCATGCTTTGCCAGTTGATTCTCGGCGTTGTAATCTTATATTTAGGGGCCTAAAGTTTTCCAATGAGACTGACCTAACCAAATTATTTATTGATTTTTTTAATGAAATAACTAAACATGTGTAACCCTGGGTGAAGGAAGGTCTGTTAAGATATTTTACTGGTAGCTTTTACTCTTTTTTTCCTTGTGCTACCATATTAGTCACTTACATTCATGGCAAAAGTCACATAGCTTAAGTGGTTAGAGCAGGTCATGGGTTTGAATCCTGCTTGTGACACTAGCTTTTTCATCTCAATCAAGACCACAGATAAAAAGTATAAATAATTACATACAATAATACATGCAAATAGTGGATCTGGCATTTGTGACCAAGTGGGGGCTGGAATCAATGGTAGCCGGAAAAGCCATGTTGAACCATGCAGATCTTACCATACCACTGAGAATTCTCTACCTCATAAAAAATGGTAGTCTTCCAGGAAATCCTTTAGCACAATAGACAAAATTTAAGTACTAAAGAGATCTCTACAACTCCAAATGACGAAGGGGGAAAAGGCCCAAAACAGACTGGATTAATCAATTTGGTTGAAACCAACCAAAATAAAATGATTGTGACTGAATATGACTGGAACATCAGACCATTACACATGTGTAGTAATTTGAACCATATTAGTTTAAACTTGTTTTGTTTGGCTGATTATGTGATAAATTACAATGTTATATATTTTTGTACCCACAATATTTTGATATATTGGCACCGTAATTAATTAGCAGCATGGCTTCTGACTGGTGCTATACATTGAACTATTAGAAAGGGACACACATTTATTGCATGTTGCATAGTTCATTTAAAACTGTCTGTTTAAATTTTCATTCCCTCGCCTTTGACAATATCTAAAATTACACCTTTAAAAAGAATTTTCTGTCCCTTTTGGTGTTGTTCTGGACAGCAGAAAATGAATCATTGGGTCAGCAACCTTGTCAATAGCAGCAGCCGGTCATCTCTTGAAAGATAGAAGTTTGGTACTAGGACAAAAACTTGGCAATGACTGACTGTGCTTGGAGAAGACTGAAGCAAACAAAACGTTTGATTTGGCCAATGTGGTTTATCCCCACTTGAACCTATACCTACAATTCCGTTTGCTTCAAACAGCCTAGAGCAGCCTCAGGCTGTTTTACTAATCCGATGTGTTTTCAGAGTCAATGCCAACAAACAAAAACTTTTCTAAATTATTATTTGTAGTGAGAAAGATAATTAAAGATGTTTTACCAAGTGGGGTGACTGGGTAACTCCACAGAAATTAGAACTAATTATTAACATATTGACATTTTCTCTCAACTGTTCATTTCTTCTAATGAACATAAGAGTAAGCTAATATCAACATTCACAAGACATTAACATCATTTATGTCATCCGTAACATCCTAATAATCTCTTCAGACTCTTTTTTAGCACTCATCACACTAAAGAACAACTCCTTAAATCCAGACATCCAGGATATTCTTACAAAATAAAAAAATTGTCAAGACAATGGAGTAAAAAAATGGGAATCCTCTTCCAGGCGTTGAAAGGAAGAAACCTTTCTAACCCGGCATCGAATTTGCCATTCTCGGCTCACCCATAAAATTCCTCCTTGAAAAAATTTCTAAACCTATGTGTCCTCTCCACCGCTCCACAAAATCCTCAAAGACCTCCAATTCATTCAATAAGCAATATTCAACATCAAAAAACACAATTTTTAACTTCTTAACAGACATCCAACTAATAGATCAAATGTAATTTCACATTCTGGTAATTCTTGTTTCCTCTACTGGCGTATCATGCTGGTGGAGTGGCAGTGATTCATTATGGCGATGCCTGTCCAGGGTCCTGGGTGCTAATCAGTCTTGGGCTGGATTGAGGAGTACTTCCCCGGACTCTGAGATGAAAGGATCTCCAATGATCTTGAAGGTGTTGATGGTGACTAGAAACTGACCTGTCCTCAATCAATGCCACAATGTTATGTTCAAAAGTATTAGCTGCAAGAAATCTGTGATGCTCCGTTTCCGAGCCGGGGACTGCCACTATGCCACGGTTTTCGAGAGCTTCGCTCAGATGGAGCCAGGTTGTACCACTGATACTGTACAGAATTAAGGCTTGACCAATAAGGTGTCTTTAAAAACAGAAAAAAAAAAAAAGAGAGAGAAAACATTAAAAAACCGGACAAATTGCGACTGTAGAGGGAGGATTAAACGGGACACTATACTAAGCCCGCAAGACTCATCAGTGTTGCAGAAGTGTCTTGTTTTGTCTTAAACGTCAACCACACTAATAAAATTAATCGACTAGCTGATAAATTAGAGGTTTATATTAAAATTGATCAAAAAATTTTAAGAAGAAGAAAACTGAAAGTAAAAATTGTTTTGGGTGATTTCTTACCTTTTTGTTTCGATTTAATCCATGCATTGAATTAGAAATGCTTCCAGAGTATTTATTATTTTATTCCAGTTTCGTTTCAATTGTTTGGCAAACTTTACTACGCTATAGGACTGCGGAAAACAGAAAAACCGAGAAATTATGGGAAGATGCGATTAGAAAATGACACGGAAGATGGCAATAGGCGTGAAATAAAATAATTCATGTATTGTTGATTAAATTTTCCTGAAATCTTCCATTGAATTTTCCATAAAAAATCCTATATGGGATATCAAGTCGATTCCCAGCTTAAAACCGATTTATGTTAACAATTAAAAAAGAATATAACAAAAATATGATTTTTTCTTTTAGGTATATTTTTATCAATACATTTTTATTGAAAACAGAAATAATTTTTCATTAGAATAAATTTCCTAATACATAGCCTACCTAAATTTAAGTTTTTTTACTGATAACTTTTCATAGTAAACATGATTTTGTTGATTAATATTATAATAAACAGATTCATAACAGATAGAATGTTATCATTATATTTCAATTTAAAAATTAAAGGGTACCCATAAAAATACCAGTATTTTTTAATAACAAATTTAAATTATTCTGGAAAGTGTGAACTGAAAAGAAAAGTCCAAATATTTAAAAGTGGATTTCTTCTGATCAGTTTCTGGTATTGTGTCAATTAATCCAAGGGGTCAAGTGAGTTCGATGTTACGGATTTGACTCGTTAAATAATTTTGGTTTTGAACCACCTTACTATACTTAGTTTTCTCTCTACATATTTTAAACATGGCTGTAAGTTTCACTGTCAAATTGGACACAAATAGTGTTCTGTTGTGCTCGCAATGCCGTACAGAATGTGCATTACGAAATTTCACGAGTATGCCTTATAAACTTACAGATATTTTATAAAAAACTTTAAACAGATAATTTGATTCGTATTCTATTAACATTACGGTGTTTTGATAGTTTGAAAGATATGTGGTGATTAGTGACCGTTAATCGATATTTATTTAGAAATCGTGAGATGCGGTCTGGTGTGATGTAGGTTTCAGAAAAACATTTTCTTTATCGTGCCAACGTTTCGATCTTTATTGAGATCATCTTCAGGGCCTGGGATTTACAAACATTGTTTATATATTACAATTACATTTTGGATGTGGAAAAGTGAATTTATACAATGCAAAATGTATTTTTTTTATATATTCAATCAAAGTATTTCTACTCACTCAAAGTGTTTGTCTTCTGTGTAATTGTGCCATTCTTGCGTGTCGTGTCGAGAGTGCCAGTGAGATTTTACTACTTTGTGTTTATATACGTTGGATTTTGAAGTGGTGGGAAAGGATGTCGGTATAGAAAAGACATTTTTGTGCAAGGCTTCGGCTTCTTTGAAGTGAAATAAGCCGACAAAGGGGAACAATGTGTTGGTAATAGTTCGGCCAGATTGTCCTTTCAGGATTATGTAGAAAGGGGATAAATAGGAAAAGGAAAGCTAAATTGTTGGAAAATTAGACTATGTGAAAAATATTTGATGGGTGGAATGTAATGTGATGATATATGTATGTTATCTGTATTGAATTTGATTAATGATATTGGCGTAGCTGCGACTGAGTTTACATGTGTGTGTTCTGTAATTGATGCTGTGTTTATCTCTGTTGATATAAACCATTTCTAAGAAATTACGTTTATGTTTGTTTTGTTCTGTGTGTAATACTTTTGGATTTTTGAAGTCAAAATTGTGTTGGTGTTCAAGATTGTGGGTAGCGAGTGCTGTAGGATTTTGTTTAGGTTTTTTGCAATCATAGATATGTTGCTTTACTCTCCTGTCCAGATATTGGGATGTAAGACCGATTTAAGTTGCCGGACAGTTTAAACAGTTGATCTTGTAGATTACGTCAGATTATTTGTTATTGGTGTGGTATCTTTAATTTTGGAAAAAAAGTGTTTGAATTGTTTTATAATTTTTGAAAGCTATTTTGAAGTTATCGGACAAGAGAAATGTGTTTAATTTATGTGATAGGCCTTGGAAAAATGGTATGGAAATGTATGCTGGTTTGTTTGTATTCGATAGACTTAATGTAGTATTACTTAATGTAGTGGATGGTGTTAGTGTTGAGTTGTAATTGTTGATTATTCTGTTAATTATGTGTTTAGGGAAGAGATTGTTATGAAGGATCTGATTGTATATCTTTATGTTTTTATGGTGGAAGGATTCATTCTGTGAAGTAACCCTTTGGCCGTGTTTATTATTGTGTGAAGGGGATGGTGAGATGAAAAGTTGAGGTAGCGATCTGTGTTTCTTGGTTTTTGATACCAATCTGTGATTAATGTGCCATCTGGTTGTTTTATTACGAGTGTATCTAAAAATGGTATTTTTTTGTTGTTTTCGATTTCATGTGTAAATTGTAGCGTGGGTGAAAGCTATTAAATGTATCTAATGTAGTTTGAATTTGATCTGTGGGAACAGCTGTCAATATATCATCTACGTACTTAGTGAGGAAGGGTAATGTGGTATGACTGTATTTAATAGATGTGTCATGATTATGTCTGCCAGTATCGGGCCTAGGTTGCTACCCATGGCTATATCAAAAAGTTGTTTGTAAAATTGATTGTCGTATGTAAAATATCCGTTAACACAGCAGTGTCGGATCATTGTAATGAACGTGTTCTTTGATCTTAGAGTTGTGTGTGGTGTTATGTTGGGCCATTTATCTTTAATAATGTTCAGTGTTGTGTCTATTGGGATGTTGGTAAATAGTGATGAAACATCTAGGGATATGAAAGAGTAGTGTGAGGGAATGTGGATATTATTAATTTTGTTAATGAAATGAAATGAATCATTTACATTATATGTGTTATCTGTGATGTTGTTGAGTATGTTGGTTAGGCATTTTGTGGGTGAGTTTACAAATGAAATTATGGGTCTTAGAGAGTGTTCGGGTTTATGTGTTTTTACAGATCCATATAGTTTCGGGGGTGTTGGTGAGTTGTTTTGAAATGAACCGGTGACACCAGACCGCATCTCACGATTTCTAAAAAAAGTTTGAACGATAGTTTTTGCAATCATACTACGAGAAAATGTACATAACAGCTTAAAAAAAACTTGATACTTCTTATCAAAGGTAGTTGTGCCTGTGGATACAGCAGGATGTGTTGAAAAAACCCGTTCGAAACTCTACTATGGTCGAAATATATTCCCGCATTTCATTCAAAAGTTTCCACAGTTCCTGAGAGTCTTTGAAATGCGGCAAATCTCCACCTGTTTCAAGCCTGGTGCTGCTGTCTTGCATAGTAATATCTGACTGATTACATTCCATAAATTAGGAGGTCTAGCTTGATTTTCTGAAAACAATTTATTACAGTCATTCTAAATATTATGGTTTAATAAAATCATGTAATATTGCCATATTATTTAACTAATGGAAAAATATTTTTATATTTTTGCTCCCCCCCTCCCAAAAAAAAGTAGCTGGATTGGTGTTATATCTTAGATATTGAAGCTGGCTGAAATTATACATAAAAATTGTCCAGACCAAAGCGTGTTATAACATAGTCAGTTTTAGGCCTAACAATCTGAAACTGGGTGGAAAAATATTAGACGCGTGTCCGAGCGTTCTTGCCATTATAGTGGTGTGATGTCTATGTTGTATATGTATTTCCGTGTTATTACATATAATATCATTTCATTTTATCAAATCTAAGATAAGAAAAAAATAATCAGGATTATTTCAATTAAATATTCTTGTCTTGGTTGAGATGAAAAAGTTAGTGTCACGAGCGGGATTCGAACCCAGGATCATCGGTTGGCGACTTCGATAGGGTTCATCGTTCCACCAAAACTTCCTACAACTGTTATTTATATCCATATTTACTTTGTTTTAGACGTCAGTCTTACAGTCGACGTTGGTCAAAGTAACGGCCGTTTGAAACGGTTGGAGAGAAGCGTAAAAGTGAACGTCGCCGATGGGCCGGGCCACCGCTCGTTGGTCTGACCGAGTGCCTATAGCCATCGCTCATTGGACCCAGCGCGTTGTATAAAGGAACATGACAAGTCAATTCATTCTATCATCGGACATTTCTGGACAAGTTATTACTGTCAAAATGTTCACCGTCGCACAATTCGTCGCTCTGTACTATGGCACCACGTCTAAACTCGCTAACATCCAGGTCAAATTCGATTTGATAGGCAAGTTACCACCTGAGAGTTCATCCACGGTCTTAAGGTATGTCTCCTGTTCTAGGGTTCATCTTTCCACCGAACCTTCCTACAACTATTACCTCATCCACCTCTTTTGATGTTACATATAAACTTACTTTTTCTATGCTTCAGATATTTGGACGATCGTTCGCTACTCTGCGCACTGTTAGTTTCGCAGCTAATTGGAGTAACTAATCAGTTGAAGATCCCTAATTTTGGGTGAACTGTTTTGAAAAAGCGGATCTCGGATCTGTTCAAACAACGGGGGAAAACGAGCAAGGAGAACAGAAAGCCAGATATTCTCTTGACAAGGGTCATCCATTCAGTACCAAATCTATACAACGGACGGGAAAGACAGAGGAGTGTAGAAGAGCATAAAAAACGATTTTTTAACTAAAACTTTTAGTTTAGTATTACTTCTTTTTGTACTTTTCTTCATTAGATCTTACAAAATCCTTCCATCAGTTTGTCACCTGAATCTCGCCCCCTTACAGCATTTTCTGTCGGAGATAGGGTATTTCAATTTAATAGAGTTCATTTTCGACTCAAAACAGGGAGTCAAGCGATAGGTATAGTAGTCGGCAAAATTTGAAAAGGTTAAAAAAATCGATGATTTGATAATATTTTCAAAAACTTATAATGGACATATAAATCACATAAAAATTGGATTTGATAAATTAAAACCAAGTGGTTTAACAGTGGACCCCTAAAAAGTCCATCTGGGAAAAACAGATTTAAGCTTTATGAGTCATGTAATTTGAAAAAATGGAATTAAAATTCAACCAGACACTTTTTTAACAACTTTTAGAATTAGAGCAACCTACAACATTAAAACAAATTAGCTTCATTTTTGGGTTCGGTAAATTATTTTGAAAAAATATCATCTTGTTTACACGAGTTAAAACGAAAAGGGACAGATCTCATTTTGAGAAAATAAAACATTGTAGCTTTTAATAGGTGTTACGATTTTTTAATATTAATTAAGTATAATTAAGTTGGCTTTGGACATTAAAATGGCTTTCGGCAGATTTGCTCAGGTTAGCCGGTGTTCCCTAGAGTAACATTGATGAGAATTATTGTTTTATAAATATTGTATTTTTTGGTGCATTAAAGTTAATTCAGTAAATGTAATTGTTTGTTTGTATTAATTATGAAAACTGGCAAAAAGGAGGGAAAATTCAAAAGGTGCGGTTGAGATGGGAAGTTGGTGTCCGAGTGGATCGAGGTCACGATAGCTCAAGTGGTAGAGCAGCGGCGTATCAAACCGAAAATCGTGGGTTCGAATCCCGCTCGTGCCATTGACTTTTTCATCTCATCTATAAACCTTAATTAATTATAATATATTAATTGGTCAAGCGGACCACGAAATTGGTGAATGTATTAATTATACTTATTTTTGTTTTTATTTCTTTTATTACGGATATATTATAAACCCCGTTCAATACGTCTAAGGCTAAATTCTGTCCGTAATACAAGATTACACAAATATTATCACAACAACCTGTTTTGAAAATTCCCGATTTTTATAAAGATTCTCGCTTTTTCTTATATGAGGACGCATCAGACCTAGCGATTGCCGGTTCAACGCGAAAAAAAAATTTTGTTCAAAACATTCAACAAACAGCAAAAGAATTATTCCACTATTGCGAAAGAATGTTTAGCTATTGTTTTCTCAGTCCAGTATAATGCAAGCTTTTTAAGTTTTGTTGAATTCACATTTTTTACTGACAACCAGAGCTTGAAATGGCTTTGTGATAGAACTGGAGAAGTTAAGGGAAAATTCGCTACGTGGGTTGCGCCTTGGAGATACTTAATTTGTTATGTTTTCTACTACATAGGGTCCAGAGTAACGTTTTTCCATTTTTAAGTTAATATTTTCCGCTTTCTCGGATATTTCGTAAGATTTAAGCATAACTCGATCTCCTATTTTGAAATGGCCCGGTATCCTATTTTTATTATAATATTTATTATATCGGTAATGGGCTTTCCTCAAATTTTCAAGTGCTGCGGTCCATATAATTTCCCTATCCTTTGTATCCGAAAGTGAGTTTGGTTTCATTGGAATGCTCCACTTTAGTTCTAACGGATCGCTTACATGATGGCCTAAAAATACTACAGGAAAAAATTTAGTTGAGTCGTTTGGTGAGTTATGTTTTTATAATTTATATATATATTTTTAAACTAGGGTTCGCAACATTGTGTTCCCGAGTGCTCATCGTCAACAAGTCAATAGGATCTTTAGCGTCCTCACCTGGCCTTTTGGCCTTATCGGACGTTTTGATTCTCAAGATGAGAGCTGACGCACTTCTGCATACGTTATCGCCGCAGCATTGGTGTAGAGGTGTCCCAGCCCCTAAGGTCCGAGACAACCTCGCTCCCGTTTGTCCACTCCGAATGGTCGGACCCGCATTGTGCATCGGGTCGTATGCCGCACGCGAAGGGCTAACAGGCCGAAATACATCACCCTGTCCCCCCTCCGCGTACTCCCTAGATAGAGAAGGTCACTCTATCTCCCTGAGTATAGGGGCTTCCCCAGTGTAGAAACTTCCGGGAGCGGTTTAGCTTAAAGTGGAATTGCTAACCGCACCCTAGATGAGCACCGCCTAAGGTAAAGTCTCCTATCGAGCTCAGCCTACACCTATCACGCGCATTCGAGGGACGCCAGACTCAGCCCAGGTGGCCGATCCTTCGCTTCCCCAAGAGTACCACGCCGGTCATACGCGCAACAATGCAAAGCATACTCGAGTCAGAGACACCGCTTCACTACCCGCTTCCATCCGCTTACTTACGCATTCGAGGGACTATAGCATGATCATCGCGTCCTCAACGTTTACCCGCTGTCGTCCGGTTGCAACGTCTCCCGTGAGGCCGGGGTGTTTTACGCTGGCCATATGCAAGCTTCACGAAGGTCACAGATAGAAGACAGCCTCTGTCTAAGTTCCCGCCAGGGGCGTCACCACGAAACCTTGCCCATTGTAACTTTGGGCTAATTTTTAAACATTTAAGTTACCCCGTGGTACAGACGGCCATACATCCTCCCCCGTCTGTGCAGACAGGATACTAGGGTTCGCAACAGCAGAGGTCATATAAACCCTCAGGGGGCCGGTGTTTTTGAAAAAAAAAAGCCCATTTGTAAGTATGTCGGGTTCGAATGCAAGGGCCGCGGGATCCGAACCCGGGACCTTTACATTACGTACCTAAACCGTTGCGGCCACCGGTGCCCCTTCCGGTGCTTTATTTAAATTCAAATTTAACGAAAGTATGTAATCGTCCCAATGATCGCAATCAATTCAACCTTATAGCTGTTTTGATATTAGGGACATAACGTTCAACCATATTACCTTGCGGATGATATGATGTCCTCAAAATATTCGCGATTCGTAGGCGGAATTCGACGAAGAAATTCTTTCTATACCGAGGAGCGAAAAACGGCCGCGTTGTCTGAGACAATGAATTGCGGAAGCCTTAATTTGTCTCATTGTTATTATCAATAAATATTTGTTTATGCTAAGTTTTAAATTGGGAATATCAATTAGACACACTAATTCCAAAACGTGGTTAAAGGATTTTTCAATATTTTCTTTTTACGGAATTGAAAAAGTTTATTCAGTCTCATTTGAATTCTGAAGTAATAAACTGTTTACTTTTCATTTTTATTTTCTTAATTTCAATTTTTAAACTTAAAAATGACCTTTGTGCTGAAGAAGTTGCGAGTGGTGTGGCACTTATTGATGATGGACTTCCATCCAGTATGCGGCTATAGGCATCGGAGTTCGCTACGACACTGCGAGACGCCGTTAGATGGTATCCAAAAACTGGGTCCTACCATAGAAGGCCGGTTTTGAACACCCTAGGGTAGCAGAACCACAATATGACCGTTTTTTGACTCTGAGAAATTTGTGTAAACCGGCACCTTACTGTTGTTCAAGCGATTCATCAGCAAGCATTTGAACGCACTGCTCGAAGAAGATTAAATCAGTATGGACGATGGCTTTTCGCTCGGTAAGAGGACAAGAATTGACCAGAACACACGGAGTTGCACGGCTCGCATTTGCTCGAGAACACAGCCATTGGTCTTTGGACGATTGGTCTCCTGTACTTTTTACAGATGAGTAGATTTGCTCTACGATATCCAGATGGGCTTGAAAGAGTTAGTTAGGGATGGTTACAGATGGTTAGGGGTTAGGGGTGGTACGTCGAGGGTCTCGAGACCACTCCCTATGTGGATGAAATTTTGGAATAACTACAATTAATTAAGGTTTTTAGTTGAGATGAAAAAAAGTTAATGGCACGAGAGGGATTCGAACCCACGACCTTCGGCTGTGAATGAAGTGTACTTCATTGTTATTAACTAATTTACTAATTACTAATTAATTCATAATTATGAACTAATTACTAACTAATTTCGTGAAGTACACTTCACTAATGCTCTCCGTCGCCATTTCAATTGTCGTCGAGAATCCAAACCGATTACACGACATTTGAAAAATGGCAAAAGGATGGAAAACTCATAAGGTGGGGTTGAGATGGGGAGTTGATGTCCGAGTGGATCGAGGTCACGATAGCTCAGGTGGTAGAGCAGCGGCGTATCTAGCCGAAGGTCGTGGGTTCGAATCATCCCTCTCGTGCCATTAACTTTTTTTCATCTCAACTAAAAACCTTAATTAATTGTAATGATTTAATTGGTCAAGCGGACCACGAAATTAGTGAATTTTTGGAATAACATGCGTTCCCTATCCTCGATGAAATCAGCGACAATCCTATCCTAATGCACGATAATGCCAGTCCACATGTCACTCGCATAGTACAAACGTACCTTCAACAGCATAACATCAGGGTCTTACCTCAAAAGACGAATGACCAAGTCCATCACTTCCTGATACACTCCACGATCTTGAAAGGACTCTTCGTGAAGAATGGGCCAACTCCTAGCAAAGAGACGTTTCCAAACTTGTATGCTGCTGAAATACGAGATATTGAAATGTTAATTGAAAATCTAAAACAAATTTTATCTGTTCGTCTTTTTTTTTCATTTGGCATTTTCCTTAGCATTTTATTTTTACATTTTTAAAACAAAGACTCAATTATTAAATGTTAAAAAACGTGAAACTTTGATTAATATATAAAAATATATACAAATCAAATTATATTACAAGTGGGTGGAATTTTTTGCCCGTCAGTGGTGTATAATATTGGTCGAAATGGAAAGGGTGGAAGTTTTTTAAACTTTTTTTTATTCTAAAGAAGTGGACGTGTCGGATGGGCCCTTAGGCTCCCTCGTTCCTCAATGGTGGCCAGCCCTTCTTCAGACGTTGAATGAATCCGATGAAGGAAGGAAAGTGAATGTTCTTCCTTGGCGGGATCCTTTGATCCGGTCGCCGCCCCGTGGTGGGGAAGGCGTAGCGCCGGCATTCAGGATTCCTATCCAGCCTTAGTTGCACACAAGCCGTCTTTGAGTTACCACCACCTCACCTCGATCAACACCTGGATTACGATTTATTTTAGGTAAACGAATCAATTTATTCAATTACTTTGTTTAAACAAATTAATCTGTTTGTTGTTGGACTTAAATTTGAACGACCGACAAATGGCAAACTGAATTTTTCTTTTTATTTTAAATTGCACACGCACTCCTTCAGTGTACAAAAATATATTGGTACTAAGGATGTGTTTGTAATTAAAACATAATTATTATCAATCTATTTTCTATATTTAAACAATAATTAAAATAATTTTTAATTTTTGAGTAAAGATCCAAAGGTAAATTTATTAAAATGGGGTAAAATTTTTGAATTCTATTATTTGATTTTCTTAATCCCAAGACTCGATACAATCTATAAACTATAAAAATCAATATTTTTTGTTTAAATTATTTTTTTTACATGTTATATAAGTGATTTTGTACTTAAATTAGTGTCTTCTTGATACTTATACAATAGTATTTTTTTTAAACGTTTCATATCATTTTTAACGGATTTCTCTGTAAATTTCCCATTCGATTTTTTCCTAGAAATCAAGAAATAGTGAAATATTCAAGTAAAATCTTATCAATGTTTTTCCAGTTGCACAGGGATTTTTCATATCCCATACAAAAGTTTATTACCCGTCGTTAAAAGTTAAGTTTACAACGATCACGTGTACTTAATTGTCGTACTTCCGTGATTTTATCTATAAAGAATAGACAAGAAATTATGCATTTTCATATTTATTGATTTTGAACAATAGGAGTTAAATTTGTAAGTAGTTTTGATTTAGGATTTTAAGATTTTTCTACAGACGTGTAGGATCACGGATTTTAATCACACTTTTCTTTGGTGATAAGTAGGATGAAAACTATTAGACACCAAAAAAAGTACATTTTTAAAATTTCCCACCCCTTTGCATGTATTTCAAAGGTATTATATATCAATAGCTTTATTTTTTTACCTAAGGTAAAAAGGTAAAAAAAAATTTATAAGCCTGATCGTATTAAAAGAGTATAACCAAAAAAAGAGTCTAGTAAAGTTTAAAAAAAAACTTTTATTCTTTAAAAACATTGGTTTTGTTTTAATCACCCTTTAACGCCCTTTTAATAAGAATTTTTATTATAACGTAAAAATAGATATTTTTGAACTGGATTTGTGGGATTTTCTGTCTCCGAAGTTCGATGTTCCACTTAAAAATTCACTCTAGATTTTATCCAAACTGCAAATTTAAACAGCTGATAGAAAGCCGGATATCTTTCAACCTATGATCAAATTGTTTAAATTTTTTGTTATTAGAAGTGAGAAAAGTAAGAATAAAATCCAAAAAAACTCCTCAAACCTTTCATTTTTTTTATCTCCGGTTTCGATGTATTTACGCAGGGGATATTTATGCCATTACAGTAATGGCATTAAGTGTGGTTTATAAAGTACTATAAAGTATAAAGTTTCCGCTGGATGGCTGTGTCGTTTCAAAATTAGCGCCGTTTTTGTGATTTTCGTAAAAAAATGGGAAGCCTTCATTTCGCCCTACTGTTTGGGAATGATATACTGTTCGATTTTTCCCGAAAATGGGTATTCAGTGGTTTATGAGGGTGCGAAAAACGAATGTCGACTTTCTGTTACTTTAACAAAATTCTAACCCACTCATCTACATCTCTCTGTCATTACGTCAATATTTAATTTTCACTAAAAGATTGGATTTTATTCGAATTAAAATTTTATACAACTTTTGGAAAGAAAACAAAATCTTCCTTCATGAGGTTCAAACGTTTCGAAATTTCGCCATTACAATTGAGAAAAATAAGGTTAAAAAAACAAAACCTTCTCAAACGTTTTATTTCTCAAGTTTTTGTTTATTTACGGAAGAAAAGCTTTTGCTATTACAATATATTTAGTTTATAAGGTTCAAAATTGTTGTTAACTTTCCTTCGGTTCAGTGGGGTCCTTTCAGACATATCACAATTTTTGTGAACTTAGAAGAAAATCATCATTCAGTCCTTCTATGTGGAAGGTGATAAATTTTAGAATTTTTTTTTCTCGAAAATAGGTATTCAGGGGTTTTTGAGGATGGGAAAAACAGATTTCAACATTGTGTCATGCAAAAAAAAAAAAAATCTTACCGACTTTGTTACAACGCTCTAGCATTTCGTCTCTATCTTATTTCCCTGTGTCCCTCCAAAAAAAGTATAATTCCTCTGGTTTTTATCCAAATTATAGTTTTATGAAACTTTTGGAAAGCGATTAATGTGTTCATTGAAGTTATGTGAACAACGTTTAGATTTTATGTCGTTAGAAGTGAGAAAAATAAGGATGGATTCAACAAAAACTCTTCAAACTTTTTATTTTATATCTCAAGGTCTTATCTATTTCAGAAGCGAAGTTTTTGCTATTACGTGCAGTTTATAAGGCTCTAAATCCTTGCATATGGATCTGGGGAGTCCTTTCAAAGTTATCACCATTTTTTGTCTGTTTCGAAAAAAAAAAATCTGAGGCCTTCATTCTTCTTCATAAAAGGCGAAAAATTTGCGAAGAAAAGAAATATATTTTCATTTTCCCGAAAATTGGTATTTAGGAGTTTTTGAGGTTGGAAAAACGAATATATTCTTTGTTTCTTGCTAAAAAAATTCTTTTATATCGCAAAGTCATAAATGTATGTATTTCGAAAAAATTCATTTGGAAGGTAAAACATTTTAGACAATTTCATTTTTTGATTTTACTGAAAAATTGTATTCGGGTTGGTTTTTTCGAATTTCAACTTTGTTTTTTGCTAAAAAAAATTTAACCTACTAATCAGTTCGAATATCACTACGTCAATATTGTTGTATTGTATGTATATTGAAATAAAACAACGTAGGAAAGAAAGTTAAATTTTTTTTGCAGCAAGTAACAAAGTCGTATTCATTATTTGCACCCAAAAAATACCTGAATGCGAAGTTTTCTCAATATTTTTTTCCAAATTGTTCGCCTTTTTTTCGATAACCCCAAAATAGTGATAAAATTGCAACGACTGATCTATATAAATCATTATAAAGATTTAGAACTAGATAAATTAAAAGTTATTCCATACATTTGACTTTCATAAAACTTCTAGAATTGTATTTATACAATAAAACGTTTGTGGAGTTTTTGTTTATTCCATCTTTATTTTACTCACTTGACCATAATGTAAACATTCTTGACATTGGCTGAAAGAAGAGATATTCTGCTTTACGGCGGTCTCATAAAATTTTAATTTGGATCAAATTAGGAGAAGTTAAGAATTTTTAAATGGCACAAATGACACCGGAGAAACAAAAATTTGACCCTGGCTGATGCAGCCAAAAAACGTTCATTTTTTTTATTAAATACTTTGAAAAAATGGATTTAATGGTTTTAGAAAGCGCTCAAAACAAATTTGAATAGTTTTTCCGTAAATTTTTTGCCCGTTTTATGGAAAGCGTCTTTTGCTTTTTGATACTTTTTATATATCTAATCTCATTTAATACTATCCTGTTTATTATATTCTTATCTTTAATTTTGAAACAACTTCACTGGTCGACAGAAAACCTTATAGAAATTTAGAACTTGATAAACCACACGAAACGACACAATAATAAATTAAATAAATAAATTATCTCTTTAAATAAATTAAAATTGAAGATATAAAATGAAATGCCTAAGAAGTTTTTGTTGGTTTTATCCTTATTTTTTTACATAAAATCTAAAAGTTGTTGACACAGCATAAAAGAAGAGTAATTAAACTATTTATTGATCGTAATAGCATTGATTCAGATATAATCCAGAGTAGTTAAATATTTTTAAGAGGAAACATCAAAATTTATTCTCATACACCTACCCTTTACAAGCCTATGATTTTTTAAATAAAAATCACAAAAATAGTGATAACTTTAAAACACTTCACTGATATACAGGAAACTTGTGCAATGATTTAGTATGTTATAAATTGCACTTAATGGGACAGACTTAGCCTTTTTCAATGAATTAGAACCTGAGATAAAAATTATTATATTTGAGGAGATTTTGTCAAATTTCATGCTTATTTTTCTCACTTAGAATGACGGAAAATTTGGACATTGTTGACATAGCCTGAAAGAAGAAATATCCCGCTTTTCAACGGTTGTAATAATATTGGATTTGGGCAAAATACAGAGTAGTTATGAATTTTTAAATGGAAGACTGGACATTGAATAAACAAGAAAATGCGCCTGGCAGATGTAGCCAAAAATATCTATTTTTCGTTTGCTATAAAAATCCATATTTAATGGCCTTAACGGGTGCTTACAACGAATTACAATTGTTTTTCACCAAAAACAGATTTTTTGATGCTTTAGCGAAAGGGTCTTCTCCTTTTTATGTACTTTTTTCTATTTTAATTTAATAACCAAATTTTCTTATCCTACGTAAAAAAAAACCAAAATAAATATATAAAACTTTAATTAAAAAAAAAAAAAAATACGGACTGAGATAATGAGAAATGAATCTTTTTAAACGTTGTAATAACTTTTATGCAAGGTCCTCTGGCTGAGATAATAAAGCCAGTGTCACGAGCGGGATTCGAACCCAGGACCTTCGGCTAAATACGCCGCTGCTCTACCATTTGAGGGCGAACGTCGTGGGTTCGAATCCCGCTCGTAACTTTTTTATCTCAACCAGAACCTTCAATAAAAGGAATAATTAATTGAAAGAAGTAACGACGGGAATTGACCACTAAAACATAAATAGGTTGTAATAACGTTGAATTTGGATAAATTCCAGAGGTGTTACGAATTTTCGTATTTTTACGTAAACAAAACATATCCACTGACATAATAAATTATATTAACATTGAAAACACGCACAGGTAGAAAATCATATTTTACAAAAAATTATGGAATTCACATATTTTTTGTCTCGGTTACTAGAGCCCATTGGCAAGAACGGACATTTGTCTAAATTTTTTTAAAATTTGAACCGTTGTTCCCACTTCCGAGCCTCCCCTTGATGGAGCACTAACTTTATAGAAGAACTTTTAATTAAAAGTAAATAAAAAAAAAATTAAAC